AAAGATTCAAATAGTCATAGACTGTAGGTATGCCACATTACTGTTGCTAAGGGACTATGTCCCAAGTAGTATTTTGGCCGAAATTTATCTAATTACTATGTAGAGTGTATTTATTTGGCTCACTTTAATTGAAAGCCGCAATAAAATGTCTCTTACTAATTAACGAAAAGTAAAGAGAGTATCTAATCAACCTGCGTTTTACTCTGTATTGTTTGTTGTATTTAACATAAACCAAATTTATACTAGTAGGCAAAATAAAAATTACTCGAAACTTTGGGATAGAGCTATCTTTGGAACCACAGAATCGATTTTAAAAAATATTTCACCAGTTTAATGATGCGTTATTCATGAGCAAAACAGCTACTTTTTCTTTTTTATGTCATACAAAATTTTGTGAAAAAAAAAAAAAACATTTTTGTGAAAGTCAAGAGTGTGAAAAGCTAATGTGGTGGATTTTCAAAAGCTAGTCGTAAATATATATTCATATACTGTAATCAAAACTGTCAATATTGTAATAATTTCAATAGTTACACACACTTTTCCCTATTTACTCAAGTGATAAATTGGCATGGTAACAACGTTGACCTTTTATAAAATAAAATATGGAGTGTTGATAAATATTAAATCATTCAAATTTATTCATTGTTTTCATCAAGTGCTCGCCATCAAATATGCATTAGCAATGATCGATTCGCAAAGCTTTTAAAGATAAAAATAAATTAAAAGAAGGTACATACTACCCATAAGCACTTGAAATACATTTCGATTGTCTGAAAACCACGATTGTGCTATATATTTAAAAACGTATTTGTACGTACCTACACATTTCAGTATAGCGTGCATTAATAAATAAAGTCCACAAATCAGAATCCAATTTATTATTGCAACTTCATAAGGTGCCTTGTTATTGTTGTTATACTTTTTACTATTTATATTGAATTGAATGTAATGTAAATAAAGAGTGATCCTACTGACTTACCACTTGACAAAATGTATTTGCACACTGCATGCAGGTTGAATACTTGTACTAAATTTTTTTTGTAAGAACCTTATAACCTGTATTCTGGCAAATAAACGCTTCTTATTCTTATTCTTACTTCTTCATATTCAACCGATGAAATATGTCGATCCATCATGATCCCTAGTGCTATTTTCAACACCGCATTTGAACTATTTTTGCAACAATACATAAAAACGAACAAACTGTTAGATTAGCTGCTCTATTTTCGTAAGTGGTAAATGTAATAAAACTGTTGATTTTCAATCGACTTTACAGGTACATAAATTAAATATCTTCATCAGAGAAAATGGACTCCGGGATATAAGAAAATGGTCCCTGAAAGAGAGTCTTGTTTAGAATATTTTATTGAGGAAAATGTTTAATATTTTAATCTTTACCCATACGTAAAGATTAAAATAATCCCCGACTCATCTGGCTATCGCGTGGTGAGTGTAGACTGTCTTCCATATTTTGTCTCTGATAAAATTTAAAGACGTCGTGCTCTTGTAGTGGAGACGAAATGACCTGATGATAAAAAAATTTATTGCCTTATAAATTGATTACTTGATGTGCTATCGTCTGTATTATTTGTCTAAATCAACATAACCTGTGATAACTAGCAGTGTTAATTATTTAGTTTTGGTATGTGTTTTATGGATGTTGCTGTTTATTTCCTTTAATAAATAAATACCTACTTTAAAAATAAAAACAAACTAACCTCCTGCAAATAAAAATTGTTCTTCGTCCCGCTCCAGGCATATCTCCGGCGGCATGTTATTCCTATTACCAACTCGAAGTCTTCGCTAATGTTCACACTCTTGATCACCCTTGAAGTATAATGCACATCTAGTTTTTGTCTCATCACTAAATCACCATCACTTTGTACACACATGCCCTTTTTACTAAAAACTTTTTTGTAAATCATACCAGTAGAACAACATTTGCTAACACATTTAAAACTACTGCATTTATTTTCAGCTCTCAGTGTCACGTTGGTTTTAAGTGCGAGTACGTTTGTGTGGGTGACATTTATTTTATCGTCAAAACAAAATATGGCGTTAAATAAGCAAGTGACTGATAAAAATATTTTTAACATTCTATTATGATGATGAATAGGTAATTAAAAATAAATTGTATTCGATTTTGAAATTTAAATTTTATGAAAACGTTCGATGTGCAAGCTTGCACAGTAAATACTGGCCAGTAGCACATTGACAATGAAAAACGAAACACCTGAAGAGTAGTGACCTGTGATAAGTGGTTCAAATAAAAAAAAACATAAAACATTAATGAAATTAGCTTTTAAACTTGCAATTCTTTTAGTAGATGCATTAACAATGCAATGTTAATGTCTAGGGAAACGTACTAATTAAGAGATGGGAAGTGTCTAGGTACTACAGCTGAAAATGTTATAGAACACCACCTGCATTTGCTCTAAATAATACTAAAGTGATGCCTTTTCATATTATTAATCTCTCAATTTATTATTCACTGCCTCTCGTAGGCCTAATAGATATTTAGCATTCTATTACCATATTCTAATTCTAGATACCAATGAAACCACCAAGTATGAATTATGACTTTTAATACTGTTAAAATTCAACAATACAAAACGTAAGAAATAGAGTCTATACACAGAAAGAAATAAACATTAACGAGTAATAAAACTATAAGAAAGAGAAATGATACATACAATGCAAATCAATTGGAATATTCGCAATATTTATATTGACTATTGAAAGCTCATCTTGTGCTGAAGCAATATCGTTCTGTCATATTACAATAATCTAACTATACACACGTTTTATACAATATTAGGGGAAAGTAGTACGAGTTGATCCCCTGGGGTAAGATGATCTTTCGCGATTGTGCTGAAACCACTTACGTCATTTAGTTTCTTTCACTGGTAAAACATAGCTCTGGACACATCCCCGCCTCAGTCAAATCGTAATGGTGGTGTGAGCGATACATCGAATTTGACGAGAAAAAAGAAAAATTGTGTACTTCTGATCTAAAATAGGCATGACTTTCAGCTTATGTTACTTTTATTCAAACAATGTTAAATGTAATTACTGTTGTCGTTAGGCTTTCTATTATGTTTAATTTTAATATTTTGGCCATAAAACGTAGCCGCGTACTTGTAGATTATTTTAGCAAATATTTAACAAAAAGTGGGACTTGGGTCAAGATGATCCCTTCCTATATGTACGAGATGATCCCTGGGAATTAAAACAAAAAAGCCAATGGAGTAGGTAAAGGGAAGTGAAATAAAAGAAAGAGAACTTCATAACTCACCTGAGTCTGAAGGAGATGATACTGAGTGGCTGTACTAAACAGAAAATTTTTCAAGCGATACCAAGGGTGAAGGATGGATAACATGTTATGCATGTGGAAAATGGGGCCATAAAGCATGTGCTGGGGTAGAGGGTGATGAAGCAGGTGAATTTATTTGTGATATATTCAACACAGCTCCAGTCAAAAACCGTTTCAATTATTTAAACGCTTTTTAGCAGGTACTAAGAAAGAATCAGTTATTTTCGATATTTAATTCGTAAATGTTTTTCTTTTCTAACTTTTTAACGATTTGTTCGCATAATTAGGTACTCCGAAAGGAATATAACCAGAAAAGAATAGATCATAGAACAGAATCATAGGGATCATCTTACCCCTACCTGGGGGATCATCTTACCCACAGGGGTGTACAAGATGATCACTTTGTAAGGTTTTGCAAAAAATGAAATATTTTAATGAAACCTCAATTAATTTCTGGTTTTGAGTATAAGGAAAGTTGGATAGATAAATATACTAGTAGTAATCGTCTTTATTTTTGGTTTACCTTGAAAAATATGTATTTTACAGCGATTCCCGCTTAAGGGGATCATCTCGTACTACTTTCCCCTATTTATCAATAGAATACGGCCACATGTTGAGTTGTACTATCTAGTACAGCCATTGGTATAATTTCCAAAAAAGTTTGTATTAACTGCAATATTTAATGCAAAATCTCACTGCAAAGCATCATGTGGCCGTACCCTTAACACCCTATCTTATGCAGTAACTTCAACGGAATTTAACACTTCATGCCCTTGGGAAGGCCACGCAATTAATGAATTCATTTTGTTTCATGACCCCCAAAAGGATTAGCAGCTCATCCATTAATGACAGCACTTTAATTATTTCCCATTCTACTGAATATGATTCACTATCTACTTAGAAAGGCGTTGGAAATTTTAAAATTGACCTATCAACATTATCATTAAGTACAATATCCATGGTAACAATCAGGTATTTGTAGAATTTGAACATCAATCTGAAATCGCCATAAATACTTATTTTGAAATTGTCATTTTAAAAGCTAATATTATACATTTGGACTTCTTAATTACGAATATTATGGCAGTATAATTAATAAATAGTGTATAATAATATAAAAAGAGGTTCCTGAAAGAACTATATTAACATTTACAACTATCTTCGCACTAAGCAGAGATCTACGTTTTAACCTATACGATTTTGTCATGCATGCGGATTCAGATTTCAATAGCGTCCGGGAAGACGTGGTCCAAGTAGGGCTGGTGACCGTAGCTCTGTAGAGGTCTTGGTCTCGACCTCCTAATTTCTATATCGTCATTCCTCGAACAGTTTCTATCGAATCTTGAAGCTATTTCCCTTACTTTTCCAGGTCGCGGCTTCTCGTCAATGACTACATCACCATGTCTCGCGTTTTCTTCCTTAAACTCCTCAAAGGATCGATCGTTTTCGTTCAGTTTCGCCTGACGCATTCGTTCGTCGATGCTGCGCTTGGACTGCCTATGACCATCCCTGCGATAATCTTGCTCATGCTTCTCCAAATTTCCTCTCCCATGACTATGTTTTCTGCCAGAATTATTCCTCTCGTACATCCGCGAGTAATTCTTGGAGTTTCTGTTTTCGTTGTGTCCAAAATTATCTCTATGTATATCTGCTACATTATTTTCAGCATCTTTATTCATTCCGAAGAATGGGTTTTTGGAATATTCAATATCATTATTGGTTTTGCAAACATAGACTCGATCGTTCACAATACCTTTGCCTTCGCTGGACTTGTTAGATCTTCTAGCTTTGGGTGGTCCAGATTTGAAGGTGGAGAATCTGTTTTCGTTAACGTTATTGTTAATTTCATCGTTGATCATTTGCGGGTCGAAAGCGTGCGTTCTTTGGTGTGTTAGAGGCTTGGACAACGAAAAATACTTAGGCGGCTCTCCGTGATTATTAATCGTTACTTCGTATTGTATATGCGGGTCTAAGACCGCATACACATTTTCTTTGGCTTCTCTCTCCAATGACGTCAACGCGGCCTGTGGAAAAAAAATATGTATAAGAAAACTTTAAACATAGTATCAATTGGATACAAATACCTACTAGAAAGTCTAGGTAGAGCGATTACTATTTTTTCTACTTTCGCTTTCTGCGATTTTATGTACCTACATGTCGATAAACTACGAGAAGAAGTTTGAGTAAAAAATGCATTAAATCAGTCATTGCTTGAGGTATGAGAATGAGGGTGTTTTTGTAACGTCAAACGTAAGCGAGACTTTAGATTTATATGATCTGTCACGTCACATCACTGTCATGTCAATGTCAACACTCCCATCTCCCATGCCGCTAACATATGTAGGTACCTCAGGCACTGACTGAGTTTATTACTAGACTTTAACTGTAGGTTGTCGAAATGTCGACAAACTCACTAACTCAGAATCCCTTTATTTTCGTAGAACTTTACAGAAACCGTTTCTAAATATAACTTAAATAAAATTGTATTTCTAATAAAGTCCCTATGACATTTAAAGTAAGCGTTAATCAGTTAACCGGCTTACGGGCAAATGCTTTCAGAGTGATTAAACGTCTTCGCCGCGACAGCCGGTATCTAAACCAAACATCTCTACAATGACTCCGGTAAATTAAAATGAATTATTGTTACCAGTACCTCTAGCATGAAAAACTTTCGACTTCGAATCGTTTGCTTCGAATACTTTTTCATTTATTACAAGGTTTTATTTGGCCCGTGTTTGCGAGTAAACAAATATTTAATGTACTTTTTAGGTAAGTTGAAGTAAGATTATTTTATGATTGGATTGAATAAAAATGTATTGCTCAAAATTGATACAAAAGGTTGACTTATTACTAGAAGAATTTTCTGTCAGTCGCATATTTGGGTCCTAATAATTTTTGGTAGTTTGTTAATTATTTCTAGAAAGGTTTTGACTTAATTAATTATTTTTCTATACATTTTGTGCAATCAATTTTTAATTAGTTAAAAATATTTCCGGTATACCAATCTGTCAGCATTTGATTGGCATTATTAAAATAATATTTTTTTTATTATGAACTGATAAAAACGGTCATAAAAATTAGGATAATGGACCATTAATTTCATAATTTGCTATTTGTGATAAGAATATTTGAAACAATATTATTTTTATTATTGTATTGGCTTAAAATATTTATTATGACCCAAAGGGCGACTGGCGGAGAATGCTTTTAGATTCAGTCCCATTGTATCAATATTGTGAAAAGTTATTAACTTAAATTGAAATCATTTCCGGAAGTGCCATAATCTACGAACACTGATAAGCCATTGTTAATCATCCTATTAAATAATACATTTTTATTATGAACGGATAAAAGCGGTCATAAAAATTAGGATAATGGGCTATTAATTTACTATTGGTGATACGGGATTATTGGGAGCTTGTTGAATTGATTGTTTAGACTTTATATAATAGCACCTACTATAAATTATGATGAATTTATTCTAAGGTAACTAATATCTTAATGTATACCTTTGAGATGAGTCAGTATCGTTAGAAAATGTCTGACTCATTACAATTAATTATAGTGATATTATACCTAGTGAAACACGATGTGACTTAATATTAAGTGACTGTAGAAATAAAATTTCTTGTGGAAGCAAGGAGGATGCAAAAGTGATTAAGATTAAAATCAGATAAGTATGCAATTATAGTATTAGTCCATTTCAAACATGCTCCTTCATTTTACTCTGCTAAAAACACCCCTACCTATTATATTCATGCACGTAACTAACGCCATTATCATACTATGCCAAGCATAAAAAATGTTTGAATTGAATTTTTAGATCTACTTAATTATTACCTACTCACGTTTAGGCTAGTATCTTGGTAAAAGTGAGAGAAATAAATGAACTGTCTTGTATGGACTGACTGCTTACTACTTTAATCAGTTATTTTTGTAAGTAGAGTGACTATTTATTTTATTTTTTAGTCTTCTTTGGCATGAATTCACCGATGACCGACTAGGCATTGTAAGGCTTCATTGAATAGATAACAATATCCTAAATTATACAAGAGTATTATAACTGTGTTGGAGAAAAACTGACGTCATAGTATAAAATAATACTGCCACAAGCGTCCTAGCGTCGTTGACATCACGTAAATAATTTCTTTGTCATACAAAGTCTATGGAAAAATCTGTGACAATTAGTTACTATTTTTGTATCTAAAGCCCAGTCGCCGAGCACGTAGAATTTCGTCCAATGACCCCAAGCTACCCATCCTTATCGCTCGTGCGTAATTCGCACACTAACTGCGGCCGACTGTCGCGCAGTCGCGACAGCGATATAATTATGCGCGAGCGATATGGATGGGTAGCTTGGGGTCATTGGACGAAATTCTACGTGCTCGGCGACCGGACTATAGAGACGCTCTAAAATACCCCATTCGCAAAAGTGTAAACCCAAAACCTCAAGTGACGTCACACAGTAGCTGTTAGTAAGTGCGTCACACCTGTGCACAGTCACACGGTGGTGGGGGGCTGCAGCACGACCGCCGCGCGCCGCACCTGCAGCGCGCCGGGCGAGTAGCGTGACGTCACGCCGGCGGAGCGCGCCGCCGCCGCCGGGTTGGGCTGCGTCGCCGGCCGCCCGGCCTGTTGCGGGGAATATACCGCGTCCGCTGGCAGCACTGTTTTCTCACTGTTGGATGAAAATATCCCTCATAAATACTTCGTTCATTCGTTTCAGCCAAATGACGTTCACTATTGGACAAAGGCCTCCCCCAAGGTTTTCCATAATGCACATCCAGGCTCTTCCCGCGACCTTTACCAGAACGTCGGTCCACCTAGTAGGAGGCCTGCCCACGCTACGTCTTCCAGCCCGTGGTCGCCACTCGAGAACTTTCCTGCCCCAACGGCCATCGTCTTTACGAGCTATGTGCCCCGTACACTTGATTTTAGCAATTCTGCGAGCTATGTCGGTTCCTTTGGTTCTCCTGTGGATCTCCTCATTTCTGATTCGATCACGCGATAAATACTTATTCGTACTTATTAAGAGTCGAATCAGAAATGAGGAGATCCGTAAACGAACTAAAGTCGCTGACATAGCACGACGGATAGCAAGCTGAAGTGGTAATGGGCAGGGCACATAGTACGCAGAACTGACGGCCGATGGGGCAGCAATGTTCTGGAGTGGACGCCACGTACTGAAAAGCGCAGCGTAGGACGCCCACCCACAAGGTGGACCGATGAAACTCATAAAACTCATTTATTTCTGCAAATAGGCTTTAAAAAAGCACTTTTACACGATGACCTCACAAAGGTAGCAGGAAAGCGCTGGATGCATGTCGCCATCAACCGGCCATTGTGGAAATCATTGGTGGAGACCTATGTTTAGCAGTGGACGTCTTATGGCTGCAATGATGATGATGATGACTTTATGATGTTACTCTGACTCTTCTGACTCTGACTCTAGTGGTTATAGAGCTAGAAAAAAACTAATAACTCACCTATCTAAGTCATCAGTCTTGTATTCAACGCTTTCTGTGGACAAATAAAGACACCATTAATGTTGCTACATGATACCTCTATATACGAGGATACACACCACACCCATAATGTATTTTGTTATGTAACTTCGAAAGATAGAGCCTGGCAGAAAATTTCAATTCGCGCAGCTCTTCAAAATGTAAGTATTCTTCTCCTTATAAGGATTTGTCACACTGGATACGGTCTGTGATCAGGACAAAGTAGACGCAGCCTGCATCATGAGTGATTACTTTGACCTGACCGCATATCACATCCAGTAAGATAAAAACTCTAAAAACTCTAAAACTCATTTATTTCTGTAAGTAGGCTTTAAAAAAAGCACTTTTACACGTCCCAGTATTAACCCTACCACTGCTTCGGGACAATAAATGGGCCAGTGCTGAGAAGAAGCAGCGCAAGAAACTCAGACAGATTAATATGTACTATATTATGAGAATCGAACTCAACAAGAGAGTCTCATGCCCGTTTTCACCATCAATCCTTGATTTTTAAGTGACCCCTATGGTAACACATACCAGGAATTTTGTTTTCATAGGGATCATTTAAAAATTAGAGATTGATGAAAACGGGCATCACTCTCTCTTTGCAAGGGGGCGTTAGTTCAATAAATACTATAATAATGGATATAGATATTAATGAATGGGTCAAAAAGCAGTTTACCTCGTCGTCTCCGGCACCTGATGATGAGGCACAGCAGGATGACTAGGAGCGCCGCGATGACCAGCGCAGCGGCGATCAAGGGCGCCACGTGCGCCGTCTCTACACAACCAAAATGGGCACATTTCATTTGACGATCATAAAAACTTAGGGGAACCATACGTTCCGTTTCTAGCCAATACCCTAGCTAGCTAAAGGTAAAAGTTTTGTAACCAACTTCACGCAGAAGCAGCAAACGACGTGTCGCAAAATGTGAAGTGACTCTACACTCTACAGCAGGGGTGGCCAACCGGTCGAACGCGACTATTAGTCCAGTCGATCGTGGCAAGGCAAAAAATACTGCATGATTGTGTACTAAACTATGCTGTTTCATTTAAGATATCAAGAAGTATATAAGTGGTAGATCGCCCAGGGTTTCGTTTGTAAAAAGTAGATCTTATGTCTAATCAAGTTGGCCACCCCTGCTCTACATTATTTTATGTTTAGCTCATAAGTTTTCCTTCCATACTTACCTACCCAAATTAGATATTGTCATATTGAAAGCATAATGATGATCACTTTTCAACCGACTTCAAAAAAAGGAGGAGGTTCTCAATTCGACCCGTATGTTTTTTTTTTTTTTTTTTTTTTTTTAAGTATCAATCATGGTATACCTACATAAATATTAATTCGTCCTAATAAATAAGTAGGTTATTAGTAATTATTTTTCTACTTTTTAATGTAGGTTTTTTGGAGTCGGTTTTATTTTTTTTTATAAAATTTTTTATAAGCAACTAGCGGCCGCCCGCGACTTCGTACGCGTGGATCCTGTTTTGCCCCCTTTTCCCGAATTTTCTTTGCTATAAACCTCACGGAGCCCGAGACCTTTCCAACGAATGCAAAACCGTGGAAATTGGTTCGTGCGTTCTGGAGTTATAGCGTCAGGGAGGAAAACCCGACTTATTTTTATACATATAGTAGATGTTGGTATTTCATGCTACTTTTACGAGACTAAAGGGCATTTTACTGTCCAACGAAGGTCATCTAATTTTAGTAACATTAATAATGAACCTTGTTGTATTGTGAGTAATCCTTCAAAAACAGGAAACTGATACTAATGTCGCTCACTGATAACCAGCAGGAATTTGTCTATCAGTCAATTTGCTACGTTACGTTACTCCTATACGAGTGTAGTTTATTGTTATTACGTTTCTTTATATTATTTTATTCAGGGTATGTAGGCTATCTTACTATCTTATCTTACTAATATTATAAATGCGAAAGTTTGTATGGATGTCTGGATGTTAACATGACTGTTTATAACTCTTTCACGCAAAAAACTACTGAGCGGCTTTTGATGAAACTTTGTAGTATTATTGTTTATAACCCAGAATAACATTATAGGCTGTAATTTATATCGATCTGTGCAACTATTTCACGCGGGTGAAGCCGCGGGCAAAAGATAGTCACTAACTAAAAATTACATAAAAAATTACAGCACAGACACTTTAATGAAGCTAAAAAAAATGTGCTCGTATATTTGTAGCTTTCAGCAAGGATAACGTTGAAGCTCGACAATAATGAACCCCAGAACATCGCGGTTAATGGAGCAGAGAATAACGTAGTGGTTACAGTTTCTCAGCAGGCAACGGACTAATTGATCTACTTTAGTCACATTAATAATTCTCCAGTTTACCTACTACCAGCCAGCGACTCCGCTATTTTTAAAATTACAGACGGGTTTCTTGCTTCTGTTTTGTGTCTGTCACGTCATTTAGTGCTAGAGTGGATGGAATTAGGTCGTCTCTATTTACTGGGAATAAGACACCCCTATGGTAACAAATAAGGTACCTGGGTCGAATATGGCCAGCCGAAAAATATGGCCACATGCCATTATTTCAAATACGAAATATTATAATAACCTGAACGCGACCATAAATTGTCGCTAGTGTAGCGTGTATCCGAACGGCGTACCTGTCACTCCTCCCGCGCGCCCGCTAGTCGCCCAGTGTTTATTAAATGGAAACGAGTTTTAAAGTTATAAAAACATCAAGTAAGTATTGTCCTGTATTTTGTTAGTTTGAATTTAAGAATCTTTGTAAATCACATTATGATTTTGTGTGGCGATTGTAATTTGATATTTCTTTGTTTAATTACCAAAGTAATAATGAGTTTTTCATTCCTGATATGAAAACGTTAAAAATGAATGACTGCAAATATGGCCACCGTGTGGCCATATTTCCGATATTAAGTAAGTAGTAACCTCTTTTTTGTTTTAGACCATGGCACGCTATAAATCTAAAGGGATTAGAGGTAATTGGTCAGAAGCATCAATGAAACAAGCATTAACTGCAATCAAAAGCGGTAAGATGAAAGTATATACGGCTTCAAAGCACTATAATGTGCCAAGACGTACTTTGAGGCGTTATTTACTAGAGAAAAAGGAGACAAAATCTACATTGGGTCGGAAACCGCTTCTTAACCCTGAACAAGAGAAGATTTTAGCATACTTAGCATTTTAAGTTTAAAATTAAGAAAGACTTGTTGAGTCTCATTGTTGACTTTATCTTTTAATTTAAATTTTTGTAAAGGTACTTAGTTCCTTATTTGTAATGAATATCGCCCAAAGAATATCTTTTAAATAAATCTTCTATTAAAATATAATAACTATTTTTATTTCATTTTATTAAGAAGTTTTTTAAACTAACTAATTCATACAGTAAATATGGCCACATGTATGGGCATATTTACCTCCCCCGTCGGAAATATGGCCAATTTCTATATTTTTAAAAATGTTGCAAATACTTTTTTATCATTTGAAGTCTTTACATTTTTTTGCCTTTTTTGTAAAGATAAATAACCACTCTTTAGAAATGAGTGCTAAAACTTTCTTGTTTTAGCTTTATTATTATTAAAAAAGCATACCAAACCTTAAGGTGGCCATATTTGACCCAGGTACCTTATTATATTTTTATTTGTCAATCTAACAAATAATTACATAGTTATGGTGCGTTGAAGTTGCGCACGACGTCACAACGTGCGGCATTTTTAAGCAAGCGTTGACGTCACGGGCCTCTTCTTATGAACTTTGGGGCGCTTTATCTCTTTAAATTTTCATTAGTTTGAAAAAGTGAAAAATACGTGTAGAGTATTTTTTGATAAGTTAACTGACGGACTAATTAAAACTCTTGCTTTTTGACCCAGGCAACATCCCCATTGTATGACATATTGTGCAGCGCCCCTAGCGGCTACTTTCAAGAAACAAAATCTTCATAGAGATTTTTGACGTACTCGCTAGCGAGCACACCTAACGTAAACTCATGGTAGGTACACTGATGTCTTGTTAATGTTTTGTTAAATCCTTTTCTATGCAGGGGTATGGTGTGTCAGCTCAGGCCTCAGCTAGGCCAATTTGGGGTGTACCAGCTCAACGTGACCGGCGAAGGGTGCGAAGTCACTACTGCGAAGGAGCCTGTAGATATCTATATGCGTAAGTAATGAAACATAACTTTTTTAATAGAAATAAAGTAGTAACAGAAGCCGCTGTATATGAACTTGATGACTTCGATAGAAAGTATTTATTCATTTCACTAATCCTCATTTATTTTGCTTTCATTAGCAATCGCTTTTATGTAGTTTCGGATCCGATACTGAAAATTCCTTCGCTAACTAAAATGAGACTATTTATGTTGTATGAACCCAGTTTCTGAGATATTATCGAGATTCGATTAACATAATTTGGCGTAAAATTTACTTATCGATGAGCATGGGACGGTCTACGCGTATCGACATGTTACCTTGACGAGTTATTTTCGTCTACCCCAAAATAATAACCCCTTACCGCTTTAATGGCGTAGATTATCCAAAGTAACGTTGTGTGCTTTTATTAAACAAACTACCTGATGGGTTACAAATTAACATACTTATTGCCGTAACACTCCATAAGATCTTAAAGTAAAACAATTGGTAGTCATAAAGTACCACATTCATGGCTTTATTTACGTAATGGTACAGAATATAAAAAGTAACGTTATCCAGGCGATATTTCAGATCAATATTGATCGTGTGCCTTGACACACAATTGTATAATCTCATCGTCCTTGTTGCGCCAGAGTTGACATCTCACATTTATTGTCAAGATATATTTTTTGAGTGTGTAGTAAAAAAGAAGAATTTATATCGTGACATAAATACAGTCTTATTAACAGAAAGAATACTTGTGTACTTACTTATTTGGTTCATCAGAATGTAATGTTTTAAAGTATGTAATTAAATTAATTAAGTAATTAATATACATACATAAAGAAACGCTCTACATTAAATATCTAACAGCTTTCAAGAAATGATGAGTATGATGTGAATTGTATTATCAATTCAGCAAGAATATTATAGTGACAAAAAAATTATGATTGTATGCAAATTGCTCAATAATATGAGTAAACCGTTTATCCATAACACATACAAATACTTACATGACAGTTAAGCATCCAAATAACGAGAATGTACCGTTCGTTGGTTGGAATTTTACATCGCGATTCCTTACGTAACTTGGTCAGTGACATACAAGAATCTCTGAAGCTACAGCCTTTCTTGACAATGCCAAAGAGTTCAGAATGTTAAGGATTGCGAAAACATTGTTGCTCTTTACTTTACGTAACGACAATATTTAAATGTGATACTTTGATCGCAACACAAAAAGAAATGACTTTTTAAATATTAAAACATAAATAACTAAGCTCAGAAGTTCTCTCATTTCACACAAACGATGAAAAAATTGGTGTTTGGTGTTATTTTGAAATATTCATACTTACTAGAACTATTGATAAATAAAAACTATGGAAGTAACTAAAAAATTACACCATTTATAATGAAAAAGTAGAGCCCCTCGAAACTGTGAAAAGCATTTCGTTTGCGAGTTTGATGACCAAAGTACCTACCTACCTACTTATTTTTGTAACGTGTACAAACCTAAGATATTTACGGATTGATACCGATAGATACAATTAATGATTAAAACCAATCAACCATGATAATAATCTTAACACTTTTACATCTAAGCGTGAAGTGTTTTGTCATCTTTAAGTCCAAAATCAACAGGATTTTTTTAAAATTATTTTTGTATGGATCCCTAAAAATTACGTCTATTGTATTCAAAGGACAATGCCCATTTTACTATGGGAGTCTGTACCATGTTGCATCAACCTGAATTTACTCTCAAAAGTCTAGTTTTTATTTACCTTTTCGCTACCAACATGTTTTTTTCAATGTTTAGCCGGATTTTCAAAATATTTGAAAAAGTTAAAAAACGCCTGAATATTTTTTTTTAGCAATGTTTAATCGTCGTGTCATTGCTATTAATCTATTTATTACAGATATTTATGCGTTTTGGGTCGCATTGCTGTAAGTAAAATGCTTTGCATGTTATAGATATACTTAGTACACTTGCGCAATAAGATGAGATCCGTCCTCCTTCGTCTGCTCCCCCGCACGTGCCGTTTTCGACCTATATCTATTGATATTACGCCCTCTTTGTACTAATGTTATTTAACGCTTTATCCATGCCTATCCAGAACACGAACTTAACTGTTAAAAGACAATGATAAATAAATATTAAATTATGAATACCTAAACTTACTGCGTGTTACTTTATATTAAACTAATTGTGCCCGCGGATTTCGTACGCGTGAAAACAGTTCAGATAACATTTCCCATTTTTGCAACATTTTAAACGTAGTATAATTATCTAATGCATTGCCTCATTATCACAAAAATATTAAGTTTTAAGAAGCCAGTTATGGGCAGTGTAGTTCAATTACTATTAGTAGATCATTTAAACATTTATCAAGGTAACACAAATAAAATAACTATGTATAATCATTGATCAGATAACATTTATTTTTTAAAGTATGTTATGTGATGATTGTAATCTTTTTAACTTGTATATAGAGAGCCAGTACAGTTTATGTGCAAATAGTGATTGGCTGTGCTCGCTACTCGGATATAGAAGAGGTAATTCTTGACGGTGACTTGTCTGTTCTTTGAAGTTCTTCTTCTCTTATTGGCCTTTGAGGATCATGCTGCTGCTGTCTGTCGACTGTTCTAGTAGCTGTTCTCCAGCACACCTCTCAAGTCTGGATACCTAAAATAATTTTTAAATTGCATGAATTTCTAGATACTTAACTTACTCAATAATTAATAATAATATTGATAATAAAATCATGTTTGCTTGCTAAAACTTACTTGGCAAACAAGATTTTTATTCTTATTGCTTACTCACGAAAATAGGTGACAGCTGAAATCGGAACAAAAAAGTTTTCGGAAATGATTTTTTGTACGGAAGTAATTGTTAATCATGTTTCGTATAATTAATTCTAATTTTCTAAATCCGGATAAGAAAAACGGTTAAAAATTAATGAAGTACACATATAATTTAAATATTATTTTTGATGATAATTAGCCTGTGATGCAATTTGGTACAGGTAATGGGCATTGTCCTTTGCCATTGATGGTGAATTCTCATCGCATATGTCACAGAAGTAGGTCGATTGATTTGGCCCACACAATCGATTTGATTAACATTTTGTGATGCGAATACGGTCCCATAGTCGTTTTCCTCGGTCACAAATATACGAGTAGTTGAGTATTTTCCCAAGGCACTTAACAAGGTTGATCAGAATTATCATACGGCTATAACCATTACGTTGTATATGTCAACGTGAAATTGTGAACTCTGTCAGTTTATAATATGACGCGTTAGATTGTAAACTAACAGTGGGTTAGGTTAGGTTAGATTGTAATTTAACTACGTCAGATTGTAATCTGACGGAATTCACAATTTTACGGCGACATATACAACGTAATGATTATAGCCGTATGATAATTCTGATCAACCTTGTCGGTCGTTTGGTGTAGTGGTTCAGAACGGACTACTATGCCGAGAGGTCCCGGGTTCGATTCCCGGCCGGGCAGAAATTGAAATGATGAATTTTAATTTCTGTGACGGGTCTGGGTGTGACTATGTATAATATTTATGTATTTAAAGAAAAAAAAAGTATATAAGTAGTATATCCGTTAAGCTAGCACCCATAACACAAGCATTAAGTTGCTTACTTTGGGGCTAGCTGGCGCTGTGTGTGAAATTGTCCAAAGATTTATTATTATTATCTCTTTATTTAATTTCCTTCTTATTTTTAATATTTTTTTTACAATGTAAATTATTATTATTATTATATACATACAAAGTATTGAGGTCTGGGACTGGGCGTCACACTTAAATAAACAGTTTATTAATGTTAGTTCTTTTACTGATTTCTTTTTACTTTGTGCCCATGTCTGATATACTTGTTAGATATTAAATATTGTAAAAAAATAGTATTAGTAAGTTGTTAATTGAATTTATATCATTTTACCCGCCGTGTAAATAAGAGGGAAAAGCGAGTTCGTTCACCGCAGAAGATAATACATTGTGTGTATTAAAAGTGTAAAATAAAATGTAAAGATAGATCGTCGCGGTTCGGTCACGCGCCAAAGGCGGTGGAAATCGTGAAAATCTGGCGTAACTAATGTCTCTGGTGTGCCGCGATGGGTTCGGCGAAAGTCTCCATGGTGGGATTGACGAAAGGGTTAATTTGGCTGCAAAATATTACGCACTCTACTTTTTCCTTAACATTGTAAACAAAACGATTTATCGGTAAATCCGATTTCACTTACCTATCCTATCTATCCTATTTTACCAAGCGTTTTTATCGGAATGCCAGGCCATACCAAGCCCAGGTTTAGATAAAAAAATATTTGTTTGAAGTTGCCGCTATTCGCAGAGTTTCAGATGAAATATAATTATTTCGCATTAAAATATAATTAATTTAATAGAACGGTATTGAAAGAAAAACGTTAACTGTTAATCAGTAGGCAGGTATCGACTCTAATTAGGTAACAATAACCGTGTAATAATACGGAAAGATGTTGGAGCATCTCACCTCTTCTGATTTATCAGTGACTCACTTATTTTTTTCAATACAAATGTTTTAAATCTAGATTTCTCAACCCTGGAAAAAATAATAAAAACAAGAGCAGCATATTCTTATATGGTGCTCAATTGACATGCAAATAAAGATTAAGAATTCTGATTCAGAGCATTTGTATGAACGGTACGTTCACTGTCGCATAACAATAAGCATTGTCGGCTCAATCCATCACGCAAGCGAATGGAGCAAGTGGCTGTGGGCGGCGGATTACGAGCCAATTGCTGGCCCAAATATGCTTTGTTCTGTTACTTGAGGCGTCTTCACACTGACCAGCTATCAAACGGGACTATTCCCACCTCGCGTTCCCACCGCTGCAACTCCTGTGTAGTCAGGATCTATAGCTTGACCGCCAATAAAAACCCAAGTGTCGAGAAATGCCCAGCTATCAGTTCACTTCATCACATCTTTAGAAGTAAATCCTTAACTTCTAACTCCTCCTATTTTCTTCTGATTAATTTCGTTGCGGGTCCTATGACAGTTTAACTTTCCCCCGGGATAAACTTGACTTTCACTAGTTGTATTTTTATTGGCGGGCAAGCTGTAGATCCTGGCTACACAGGAGTTACAGCGATGGAAACGAGAGGTGGGAATAGTCCCGTTCATCCCATCACAGCAACTTATTATTATTTAACTTATTTGACTAATTGGATTAGTTTTTACAAATTGTCAAATGCTTTTAAAGAGCCTTTCATGTAGAAGGTCTTTAAGAGCTAATTCTTTTTTGCTCTACCTTGAACCAATCCATCCTAGAAGCTCTATTCATTAAATAGAAAATCGAATTTCCAGGTGTTCAATCCTGGTTATCATTCAATCTGTGTACTCGTACAAAATAGACGCACAATAAATTAATAAAACTTATCTTTAACATTAGCTCCTGAGATTATAATTGTTAATGATGCACGATTGACGGATTGCTATCGCGTATTGTTTACATTTTATCTAAATATAATTAACGGTTTCTTTAAGATTTGGCAAAGATAAAAAATAACGTGATCGATACGACGTATAAATTATTACGAGAAAGGAAACAAAGAATGATTTACATAGGTAAGGGCGTAAGTAGAGTTGCATACAAAAATAGAATTGCACTACGAACCAGTTCCTTCCTTTAATCATGAAATAATGTCGCAGTTGTGTTCTCCAGTTCTCCATTTGATGAACGATGCATGATTGATGGGTGGCTATAATAGCATCATCGTCATCATTTCATATTTGTTTACATTTATCTAAATATAATTAACGATTTCCTTTAAGATTTAGCAAAAGATAAAAATAACGTGATCGATACGATGTATAAATTATGAGTTATGACCAAATTATTGACCATATAATAATATGATGAGAAACAAACCACAAACCAGTTCTTTCCTTTAACCCTTGGTCACTACTCATGGGTCAGTGAGACCCTGCCAACTTTAAATTCTACGTTTACTGGTAATGGCCCCTAACGACTGCGAGTCCCTCGCCCGTGTATTTTCAATACGGCGCTCGCTGCTTCGCATGGTGGGTGTTTCCAGTGGATCAGTGCATTATTCGCGCCAAAATAGCAAAGAAAGGGTCACGGTGACCCTTGAGTAGCAGGGACAGGCGATAAAAAAATATCATGTGATATTTTTTTTAGGTTCTTTTTATGTGTAAAATACTATTTGTTTGAGGGTTTGTTTTGTAATTATTGTGTAGCTTTTTGTCGTCGTCTTTTTCTTCATTTTGGTTTGGTTTGTCATAGGTATGGGTGGTAGAAATACGCTCACGGATGTAGAAATTGTCAATGTTTTGTTGCTTGATGATGGTGATTTTAATGAGGTGGATACTTCCACGATACAAGGCCCCTCCACCTCTGCTTCTTTACACAGCATCAGTAAATCGGCCAAACTTCCTACGAGGGCTTGATATGAAGATATGCCTACCTTACGCTCAGCAGCGAATTTGCAATAAAAAGATTCCCCGACAATTGCGTCTGATAACTTCAAGGATATACAAACTGCCTATGCCTGAAAGATCTGTTCCAGTTGTCTCTAATGTGGTATCTAAAAGGAAACTTTGCAGCATTTGTCCCTATAAAAAAGATCGCAAACCCAACAGTGTTTTTTCTTCGTGTAAAATACCCATTTGCAATCACATGCTAAATTAATGTTTCTCCAAACTGTTTAGTTAACAATTAAAGTTGTTATTTCATTGCATTATAAACCCTTTTTTATTAAATAATGTGTTTTACTCCATAATCCGCAATAGTTATGAAGATATACAAAGTTTTATAGCAGGGTCAAAATGACCCTTGAGTAGTAACCGTGTAAAAAATATTTTGATTAGTAGCCAAGGGTTAATCATGAATGACGCAAGTGTGCTCTCCACTTGATGATCACTTTCCGCCGAGAGCGTCGCCGGAGATTGCCATCTGGACTCTATTGTCTTCCAGACTGCAAATGGCGTATTAGAAATTACCGTTTTACCAATTTCCTTTACCTTCGACATAGATGGGAATATTATAGTTAGTAATAATATATTATAGTTTATGAATTCAATAAACATTCAGTTTTGTGTACGTGTGTATTAAACGTATCCAATAAAATGTACTTTAGATATTACTTTTATGTAAATCATCGGAGTAGTGTAAAAATACTTGTGAGATGAGAAATACCTCGGAATCAAAATGCTAAAAAAATCTTATTTTAAGGCAAAGAGGGTTCATAATAACACTAAAAAGACAGTTCTCTGAGTTTCATTAAGAATTTTAATAAAAATGATATACGTTTTATACAAGTCTGGTCCGACCGGTCTGCTAAACAATTAACTATTTCAACTACTTTTGATATAAAGCTCTAATAAAGCATAATCCTTAAGCAAGCGCTTGGCCATAACTTTGAGAACTATTCAAAAGTTAAGCATTTTGAATAAATTAAATATTACAATTTCTTGCAAGCTTATTGTATGTGCCGTAGCTATCGTTGAAAAGGTCCCAAAAGGCCATCCTCTCGTTGAAAAGTCTGCTCTCCATCTTCAAGTCTTTGTCTATGAGCAGGTACGGCCTGACGGCGAGGCTTGACTTCGTCCATGTCACTGGGAGAGTGCTATCGTCGCTTGGTGTAGGATTTCTGAAACATTTTTCTAAGTTTAGACTTTTGTCAATATAGGTAGGCTATACCACTCAAAATTCATAATTATTGCAAAATACTCAAATTCATAATTCCAAAAGTTTTAGACTCAAACACAAACCAATTAACTTCAATAAGAATCTTACCCGGTTTTAATAAAATTGGCCCACATGGCAACCATCCGTTCAGCTACGAGTTTGTCATCTTCACTTGCTGAAGAGCTACTCGACTGGAATAGATACTTCAATTCTTCCCCGTGCCCTGCACCCGCCTTTCCAGAATTACCCACGTAACTAAACAAGTATTGGTACAGGGCAGCTGGACTTTCATTCAACAATTTAGTTATCATCCTTTGCATAGGATGATTAAATATGAAATCCGACTCGAAATCCCCGAACTCCGAAAATTGCTGTTGTGAAATCTCCTTGTCGCCAATGTAGAAATGTCTTATAGTGTCTGCTACCTTCCTCGCCTTTTCTTCGCTTAAGTTATAGTTAAGGAGGATTCTAGTGTAAAATGGGTCATCTCTGTAATAGCCCTCGTAAAAACTGCTCATCAGGCTCATCTCTTCCTTGCTTGTGTGACCAATTAAAATTGGTGTGCCGCTGATTTTCTTTTCATTAGATAAGCTATAAGGATCTGTTTCCACAAAATTTTCAACACCGCTGAATGATCTTTCTTGACAGGGTTTTAATTGCAAATCAAGTTTCACAGTGGCAGCAGTGACTAAATCGAATGGGGTTTTAGCAAGGAATTCCAAAGCTTGTTCGGTATCATCGGTATTGAAGCCTAAATAGTTGGCCAATTTTTTGGCAGCATCTACATCTCCATTCACGAACATTCCTTCATTTTGTGGGGTTCCACTTTGTACTATTACTTTGTGGAACAACTTATCTTTAGACGAATATAAATGTAGCAGAGTAGAACATGCACCAGCGCTGTCGCCGGCTACGGTGACGTTGTAAGGATTGCCTCCGAATGATCCTATGTTGTTCCTGACCCACTGCAGGGCAGCATACTGGTCCTTGAGACCTTGGTTGCCTGGCACCGATGGGACATCAAGACACATAAAGCCATATGGGCCCATTCTATAGTTGATTGTAACTACTACAATGCCTTTGTTTACTAGACTTATCACATTGTAGGAAGATGCAGATCCCAATTCAAAACCTCCTCCGTGAATCCACACCAACACGGGCAAAGGGTTCTTGGATGTAGCTTCATTAGGCACATAGATATTTAATCGAAGACAGTCTAAGGTCTCAGTGCCTGCGCCTAGGGTGAAATTCACAAATAGTGTTTGTGGACACCTGATTGTTCCATCGTTTGCTTTATAAATCTCTTCTTCAAATGCAGCAGGTGGTTTCGCTGACTGAAAAAATATCAAATATTCGTAAATAGTATTTCATGGTCAATAATAAATAACAATTTTAGTTCTAACTACTGAATACAATAGGTACCTAACTTAAATTACAAGTATAGGTAAGAATGTTCAAAAATCTAAACGATCATGATCATTAACAAATAAGGTTATTCACATTAGTAATTTAGATAAAAATATGTATAATTGAGTATTTTATACTTACACCAAATGGATTATTCTCATCTACGGCAGCATAGGGAATGCCCAAAAACGTAGTGTAGTCGCCGTCCTCGGCCCTTTGCCCTCTCACCAGGCCTTGCTCGATCAGCACCAGAGGGTCGACCCTCAAATTGGAACTTGCGACGTAACTGATCAGTACAATCACTCCTAATACCACCTTCATTTTGCTGTTAACCCTAGCAGTCTCTAAGCAAATATGCACTTGTGATATAGCGCTGAAAGATATATATAAGTAGTTTTTATCGGGAAGTTTTGAAAGGCTATCTCGATCATTGTTATCATCGGAGTGCTACGTAACCGCTGCGATATCTAACAATTCGTTGTCGAAAAGTAAACGACACAACTATTCTATGAAGCATTAATCATCATCATCATCATCATCATCTCAGCCATAAGACGTCCACTGTCATGGTAATGCATGAAGCAATAATAAATTAAAGGAATACAGAAGACGAATAGAATATGTAGTGTGTCCTTGAAATACCCTTACTAAGGGTTGCTATTTCTAGTATATCTGAAATCCCTGATAACTAGGAGGGTGGGAAAAAGCCGTCGATATTTTCTAGCGATCTTACTTGATTTTTGTCGTCTGTCTACCTCTTAGATAGCATTATCAAGCCTATATTCAAGGGTTTGGGGCTTTACCAAACAATAACCAGCAACATCGATTTTCAAGAAATGTATTATTATTATAACTTGAGTTTAACTTTTGAATCATCGTTCCTGTAAGTCACAGTTTCACTAAATGTACATGATTTCTAAATTTGTTTTGTATTTGATTACCAACAATTTCTTGGTTTTATATTGTTCACTCACACATTAATAAGTATGATAGATCTTATTGAGGCACATGATATTATGTGTCTACTTACGGTTTTTAAATCCTTTCAACTTAATGGCGTAACCATTAAGAAGAAATACATTAATGAAAGGTTTAATAAAATGTAAATAACACAATGATGAAACACTAAATAATACTGGCGAGCTTAAAAGGGATAGGGTTATAAACATTTCAGGAACAAAAAAATAACAAGGAAAAAATCTATCATCCCTATAGCTTCTAGAAATTCTTAGTACCTATCGAAAACTGTCTTTGAATGAAGAGCCACCGAATATTGAAAACAGTGAGATTTTAAAAAACACATTCTCTTGCTAGTTTATTGTATGTGCCGTAGTTGTCGTAGAAAAGATCCCAAAAAGCCATTCTGTCGCTGAAAACTCTGCTCTCCATCCTCAAGTCTTTGTCGATGAGCAGGTACGGCCGGGTGGCGAGGCTTGACTTGCTCCACGTCACTGGTAGAGTGTTCGCATAACTTGGTGTGGGATTTCTGAAAGAAAGAAACATATTTACAAAGTAACTTTCACGTGAAAAAAATCAGAAATTAGTGAAAACTATATACGTCCCATATAATATACGAGTGTATCTTCTTTTGAGTAAGTTTAATTTAAAACATATCCATCGTAATCTTACCCGTATTTGACAAAATTCGTCCACAGAGTTGTGAGTCGATCTGCAACGAGTTTATCATCTTCATTCATCGCAAATGTGGGTCCAGCCACTCGGAATAAATAATTGAGTTCTGCAGAGTGCCCTGCACCCGCGTCTCCGGAATCACCCACATAACTAAACAAATATTGGTACAGGGCACTTGGACCCTCATTCAACAAATTTGTTATCATTCTCTGCATAGGGTGATTAAATATGAAATCTGATTCAAAATCTCCAAACACTGAAATCAGCTCTTTAGATATGGCCCGGTCACCAATATAGTAATGTTTAATAGTGTCTGCTACTTTCCTTGACTTTTGTTCGTTTAAATTATAGTTTTTGACAATCCTATTGTAAAATGGATCATCGTTAAAATAACCATCGTAGTAACTGCTCATCAATGTGATTTCTTCCATGCTCGTATGACCAATCAAAATAGGCGTTCCTTTGATTTTCTTTTCGTTAGATAAACTGTAAGGATCTGTATCTACAAAATTGTCAACACCGCTAAACGATCTTTCCTTGCAAGGTCTCAATTGTAAATTAAGTTGGATAGTGGCAGCTGTTACTAAATTGTAAGGAGTTTTAGCAAGAAATCCCAAAGCTTGTTCAGTGTCAGTAGTATTGTAGCCTAAATGATTGGCTAACTTTATGGCAGCGTCTACGTCTCCATTCACGAACATACCTTCGTTTTGTGGGGTTCCACTTTGTACTATTACTTTATGGAACAACTTGTCTTTGCCTGAATATAAATGTAAAAGAACGGAACACGCGCCAGCGCTTTGTCCTGATATGGTGACGTTGTAGGGGTTGCCTCCGAATGAACCTATGTTGTTCCTGATCCACTGCAGGGCAGCATACTGGTCCTTGAGACCTTGATTGCCGGGCACCGATGGGACATCAAGACACATAAATCCGTATGGGCCTAACCGATAATTGATTGTGACAACCACAATACCTTTGTTTACCAGATTTTCGACACTATATTCCCCTGCATATCCTGAGGCAAAAACTCCTCCATGGATCCAGACCAATACGGGTAAAGGATTCTTCGAAGTGGCATAGTTTGGCACATAGATGTTAAGTCGAAGACAGACTAGACTTTCAGTGCCGCCATAGGGTACGTAACCAAAAAATGGTGTTTGTGGACACTTGATGGATCCATCATATGCTTTATAAATTTCTTCTTCAAACGCTGGTGGTGCTTGTGCCGGCTGAAAAAATATAAGATGTATATCAAAATTATCTAAAGTACTGCTTAATGTGTTATCAGTACGAAAACCTGAAGTTGATTTAAATATTTTTAAGACTTTACGTAAATAGTTGATGATTTATTCAATAGTAAGTACTCTAATTATTATCGCTTTAAGATTAAAATAAAAGTAGGTACGACTTATTATGGTACACTTACACCGAAGGGGTTATTTTCATCCACGGCAGCATAGGGAATGCCCAGAAATGTTGTGTAGTCGCCATCCTCCGCCCTCTGCCCTCTCACCAGGCCTTGTTTGATCAGCACCAGAGGGTCAATCCTCAAATCCCAACAAGCCACATAACTTATCAGTACAATCACTCCTAAAACCACCTTCATTCTACCGCTGTTAACCCTAGCAGACCCTAGGCAAATAATGCACTTGTGATACAGCGCTGAGAGATATATGAAGTAGTTTTATCGAGAAGTTTTTAGAGATTATCTCGCTCATTGTTATCATTGAAGTAGGTACGTAACCGCTGCGATATATAATAATTTATTTCAACGAGAGCGAGGAACAGCCTCCTTTAAATTCTAGTGATATGTCCTAACAGTTCATGTTTTTTACTGTCTGCCTACCTTTTATGATAGTACCTATTTCTATGGTTTGTGGCTTTATCAAAAAATAAAAAAACTGCAAAGTCCATTTTCATAAACTGTAATTATTATTACCATAATACCACATTATTTTGAGTGTAAACTTATGAGTCATCGTTCTTTTAAGTCATTCCATTCATTCCTTTAGGTAATTCCATTACCATCACTTTTAGGTTTTATAAATGTATATTTTATGTAAGTAATTTGTAATAAATAATATTATTTAATCATTAAATTACCCTCCGAATCCATAGTTGCTTACATAGATATTCAGGAACAGAAATATTACATGCTAAAATATAGCTGCCTCCAGTAATAGTACCATTTAACCTCTGGATAAATAGCCAAACAAACTTATTTGTTGTCTGAGGTTACTGCCTTTTGATGACAGTTACAACATTCTCGTAATATCCATCGAAAAAAAGCCATTTACTTAATAACACGTATTGATTTTTTATAATCTAAACCTTCACATAGGAACTAAATAAGCAATATTTTTTGAATTACCCATATAACATGAGATTTTAAATATCGCATTCTCTTGCCAACTTGTTGTATGTGCCGAAGCTGTCATAAAAAAGATCCCAAAAAGCCATCCTGTCGCTGAAAACTCTGCTCTCCATCCTCAAGTCTTTGTCTATGAGCAGGTACGGCCGGGTGGCGAGGCTTGACTTGCTCCACGTCACTGGGAGAGCGTTCGCATAGCTCGGTGTAGGATTTCTGAAAGAAAAATCAGATTTATACTAAACTTACACATATTAAATCATCCAGGTTTTTTTAAAGTACATATTCAAATATTTACCCATATTTTATAAAATTTGTCCACATGGTTGTCATTCGATCTGAAACGAGTTTGTCATCTTCAGTCATCTCAGATGAAAATCCAGTCAATTCGAACAGATACTTGAGCTCTGCAGAATGCCCCGCGCCCGCCTCTCCGGAGTCACCGACATAACTAAACATATATTGATACACGGGATTTGCATTTTCATTTAACAAATTAGTTATCATACTTTGCATAGGATGATTAAATATGAAATCCGATTCAAAATCTCCCAACTCCGGAAACAGTTTTTCCGATATGGCCTGATCACCGACATAGTAATGTCTTATTGTATCTGCCACTTTTTTCGCCTTTTCTTCCTCTAAATTATAGTTAATGGCTATTCTATTGTAAAATGGATCATCATCATAATAACCGTCGTAGTAACTGCTCCCCAGGCTCATCTCTTCCTTGCTTGTGTGACCAATTAAAATAGGAGTTCCTTTGATTTTCTTTTCATTAGATAAACTGAATGGATCTGTATCTACAAAATTATCAACACCGCTAAATGACAGCTCTTTACAAGGTCTCAGTTTTATTTTAAGTTCAGCGATGGCAGATGTTACCAATTTAAATGGGGTTTTAGCAAGAAATCCCAAAGCTTGCTCAGTGTCAGTGGTATTAAAGCCTAAATGGTTGGCCAACTTTTTGGCAGCATCCACATCTCCTTTCACAAACATTCCTTCATTTTGTGGTGTTCCACTTTGTACTATTAATTTATGGAAAAGCTTTTCTTTGGCTGAATATAATTGTAGAAGGACGGAACATGCGCCAGCACTTTGGCCTGCTAAGGTAACGTTGTAAGGATTGCCTCCGAATGACCCTATGTTGTTCCTGACCCACTGCAGGGCAGCATACTGGTCCTTGAGACCTTGATTGCCGGGCACCGAAGGGACGTTAAGGCACATAAATCCATAGGGGCCCAACCGATAATTGATCGATACTACTACGATGCCTTTGCTTACTAAACTTGTGACGCTGCTAGCCCCTGCAAATCCTCCTCCGAACCCTCCACCATGGACCCATACTAACACCGGTAAAGGATTCTTGGAAGTAGCATCATTAGGCACATAAATATTTAGTCGCAGGCAGTCTAATGTTTCGGTGCCCATATCTTGCATGAAATTACGAGTAACAAATGCTGATTGTGGACACATGATAGATCCATCATTTGCTTTATAAACTTCTTCAAATGCAGGGGGTGGCTTAGCTGGCTGAAAAATATTAAGATACCTAATTTTACAGAACAGAAAAATTTAATAAAATACCGTAATATGAGTTTTAATATTCACATAAGTAATTATGATCGCCATCCAAAATTTTATTCATATGGAATATTTAGATTAAAAGTAAGATCCAGGTTGTACTTACACCGAAAGGATTATCTTCGTCTACGGCAGCATAGGGAATGCCCAGAAACGTTGTATAGTCGCCATCCTCCGCTCTCTGCCCTCTCACCAGGCCTTGTTGAATCAGCACCAGAGGATCGATCCTCAAACTTGACCCTGCCACATAACTTATCATTAGAATCACTCCAAAAATCACCTTCATCTTTCCACTACCATTTACACTAGCAGCCTCTGAGCAAATGCACTTGTGATACAGCACTGTTTTTATCTGAAAGGTTTGAATGGATTGAAGTTTATCTCGATTATTGTTATCATTGGAATATCTAGTTCTATTGGAGTGTCTAGCTCCCTCTACGTTACTAATGATATAGAGTCTAATAGTAAAACTCATGTGACGATTGTAATTAGTTAATCGAAAAAAATATCCGTTACATAAGTGAATAAAATACACACAGGTTAAAGATTTTTTCTGACAACCCCTAAAATGGATACGGGTGGATATAAGTTAAATTTTATAAAAAAAAATAAAACCGACTCCAAAAAACCTACACTAAAAAGCAGAATAATAATTACTAATTACCTACTTATTTATTAGGACGAATTATTAATATTTATGTAGGTATACCATGATTGATACTTAAAAAAAAAAAAAAAAAACATACGGGTCGAATTGAGAACCTCCTCCTTTTTTTGAAGTCGGTTGAAAAGGCATTGATGACAATATCTTGTTAATCAAAACCTGAGTATTAAATAGATAATGATTTATGTACTCAAGAGTTTAGGTTTTACCAAGTCAATAAATAGCATTATACAGACTCTCGAGAATTTGGTTTTTACCTACTCGAAAGTTTTGAGTGTTGTTAACTTTGATAGTTCCTTTATGTAATAGATTACCTAACTTTATGATTCTTTTGTAGTCGTTAAATAGCTCAAGTTTTCAGGTAACTTGTAAAACCCCTTTGACAATAGCGCTTTTTCCCAATTTAGAAGGTTAATTTGAAATAAATGGGACTTGTAGAAATGTCTTAATACTAGTAATGCATTCAAATAAACTAAGCTCTCACTAAAATAAAATAAAAACATATAATTCTATAGTAAATTGTTATATACTATACCAAATCTTTACTTTAAACTAGTTGTCGAATAAATAACAATTTTGAATGAGATTTTATACATCGCAATTTGTTGTCAGCTTATTGAATTTGCCGTAGTTGTCATAGAAAAGGTCCCAAAAAGCCATCCTGTCGCTGAAAACTCTGCTCTCCATCCTCAAGTCTTTGTCTATGAGCAGGTACGGCCGGGTGGCGAGGCTTGACTTACTCCACGTCACTGGGAGAGAGTTCGCATAGCTTGGTGTGGGATCCCTGTAACATTTACAAAATCGTTCTTTTATCAAGATTTTCTGCTTAAACACCTGAAACTGTATTTTTATGTAATTAATTTGTTTGTTAAAAATAAACTTGTCACGTCATCATCAATTTTTTATCTTCACTTCACTTACCCATATTTCACAAAATTCGTCCACATGGTAACCATTCGATCAGCAACAAGTTTGTCGTCTTCGGTAAGTTGAACAGAAGGATCACCTGTCTGGTAGAGATACTTTCCATCCGCCCCATGACCTGCGCCCTCGTCTCCGGAATCTCCCACGTAACTAAACATGTATTGATACACGGGATTTGCATTTTCTTTTAACAAATTAGTTATCATTCTCTGCATAGGATGATTGAATATAAAATCTGATTCAAAATTCCCCAATTCCGAATAAAGTTTTTCCGATATAGGCTGGTCACCAACATAGTAATGTCTAATAGTATCTGATACATTTCTCGCCTTCTCATCCTCTAAATTATAGTTAGTGACTATTCTATTGTAAAATGGGTCATCGTTGTAATAGCCGTCGTAGAAACTGCTCCCCAGGCCCATCTCTTCCTTGCTTGTGTGACCAATTAAAATAGGAGTTCCTTTGATTTTCTTTCCATTAGATAAACTGAATGGATCTGTATCTACAAAATTGTCAACACCGGTAAATGACAGCTCTTTACAAGGTCTCAATTTTATTTTGAGTTTGGCGAGGGCAGATGTTACTAAATTAAATGGGGTTTTAGTAAGAAAGCCCAAAGCTTGTTCAGTGTCTGTGGTATTGAAGCCTAAATGGTTGGCCAATTTCTTAGCAACTTCCACGTCTCCATTCACAAACATTCCTTCATTTTGTGGGGTTCCACTTTGTACTATTATTTTATGGAACAGCTTTTCTTTCGCCGAATATAATTGTAGAAGAACGGAACACGCACCAGCGCTTTGTCCTGATATGGTGACGTTGTAGGGATTGCCTCCGAATGACCCTATGTTGTTCCTGACCCATTGCAGGGCAGCATACTGGTCCTTGAGACCTTGGTTGCCGGGCACCGATGGGACATCGAGACACATAAATCCGTATGGGCCCAAACGATAGTTGATTGTTACTACCACAATGCCTTGGTTTACTAGATTTGTGACGCTGGTGGTCCCTGAACCTAGTTCAAAACCTCCTCCGTGGATCCACACTAACACGGGTAAGGGATTCTTGGAGGTAGCATTGTTTGGCACAAATATATTCAGTCGAAGACAGTCTAGAGTTTCAGTGCCGCTACCTTGCATATCAAAAAACAGTGTTTGCGGACACATGATTGATCCATTGTTTGCTTTGAAAATGTTTTCGTTAAATACAGGGGGTGGCTTTGCCGGCTGGAAAATAAAAGAATGTTTATGAGAATCACAAAAATATACCTACCAGTATATTAATACCAGGTAGACCATTTTATTATTATATTCCAGTAATTTGATTTGATTTGATTGGGTTGAGACGAGTAAAACTGCTCTTTGAGTGCTTAAGTACGACTAGGTACTTACAGAAAATAAATGAGCTTTTTTAACGATCATCGTTTACCGTCATCTTACCCTATCCGGTAGATAGGTACTCTATGTATATTAGCTAGTTCGCTCAACTCTACAGTTTTTTTAGAAGCTCTAACATTCAAAAGTATTATTTAAGTAGGTACATATAAAAGTATCCATCTATGACTTACACCGAAAGGATTATCCTCGTCCACGGCGGCGTAAGGAATGCCCAGAAATGTTGTGTATTCGCCGTCCTCCGCCCTCTGCCCTCTCACCAGGCCTTGCTGGGTCAGCACCAGAGGATCAATCCTCAAACTTGAGCTTGCCACATAACTTATCAGCAGAATCACTACTACGAACTCTTTCATTTTTCCACCAACAATAGCAACAGTTTCTTGGAAAATAACACTTACGATGTGTCGATGCACGATATTATACAGATAGGTAGGTCATTTTATCTCAAACTTTTGAATGGTTATATCACTTTCAATTCAATTTTATCATTGAAGTGTCTCCGAAGCCTCTGCGATAGCCACACAACTGTTCAAATGTAAAACTCCTTCAAATATGGGAAATACCAAAACCAAAACCTACTCTAAAAAGTGGGAATTTAATACAAAAAATGTGTTGTCAACTTGATGACTTCTTACAAGTACAATCAGCGACGATATAGAATCAAAACAAAATAATCATAGATTTTTTGTGTGTAAACTAGGCGTAGATAAATACCTAAATTGTTTGGGTAAACTGTGACTTCATTCTTGAGTAATGGCAAGTCGAGGTCAGAAAAGAGCACATCCAGGCACAGCAGTACAAAATATCTACTAAGTTAGTAAAGTTTTTGATTTATGAATTATTTATGTGACTCTACATAAAAATTGTTTGTATTTCTTATGTGCCCGTCTTACAGATAAATACAAATTTGCATTTGTAAGCCAATAATATGTCTCATTAAAAAAAGACAGAAAAAATTAAAATCATTATTTTTGGTCATTACCAAAAAACTTTAAAAAAAATCATGAATTTTAATTTTTGTTAAAAAATTCAGTTTTGTCGGGCACGTTTTTGGGGGTATTTTTGTCATAAAATTGACAATCGCTAGCCTTATCCCAAACATACTGTATTTACATCTTCGATTGTTTTTTTTTTGTTATCCTTGTTTATTATCCGACCACCACTTTAATATAATCTCTAATAAATGTAATTATAATTATTAGAGATAACATTATCTGATCGTTTCCAAACGGTTTGGGTTTTTTTACCTACTAAATAATCGCAAAATCTCGAACATAAACATAATGATATCGTTTGTCATGAATGGGTATTTTAAATATACCCACACACTTAAAAGATAAGGGTCAGGTGTAAGTAATTGCTTTATATTGTGTGACGATTTTATTCATTTTTTGGCCAAAAGACAAAAAATTTGCGATCGATGCAAACAGTGGTTAGTAAATTTTTAAAGCTGGCAAAACCTTCGCTGAATATGGACAAATTAAAAAGGATTTCACAAATTGTACTATGTGCATTTGTTTTTAAATCTAGCCAATCGCAAAACATATCTACGTGCCAAGATGACTCTACATTTTCGTAAAATCACACTGAACTTCCGAATTATTTAATTGGTACTCGTACTTATTCTTGTACAAGATTGTTTTTACAATGTAAAGGACAATGTTCGTTCTCCATACATTGTTCGCCTAAAGAACCAACAATTTTGACATATTACTACCCGAAAGCGAAATAATACGATTCTGTGTGTAAGAACAACGATTCCTGATGGACACTTGCCATAAAATTAATGATTAAGAATATTAAATCACAGCGATTTTATAATATGTCGTTTATGACAACATGGCGTCTAATGTATTGTGTGAATGTATGAACACCGATTCGCGAAAAATGTTTTGTATTGTCGTCACGCCGAGTCGCAGCCAAATAGTATAAAATAATAGAACAAGTTTTAGAAATACAACTCGGCATTCCACTTGATGTGCTGCTGGGAGGCTGCTATAGGTAGTATTAGTGCAGCTGTTAATGTCGCGCGTGCGCCGGACTGGCAAGCTGCGCTACGGGGACAAGGAGCTGGCCATCCAGCAGCGGCTGCGAGCGCTTGACACCTTCAGAGGGTGAGTTATGTGCAAGTATATGTATTGTATGAAAGCGATCACGCTTCTCTTCGGCGAGTTGCTGGGAGGCTGCTATACTTCTGGTGCGGCTGGTGATGCTGCGCTATGGGATAGGGAGCTGGCCATACAACAGCGGCTCGGCTGCGAGCACTTAACAACTTCAGAGGGTAAGTTATGTGCAAGTACCTATATGATAGCGTTGTTGTTTCTCTTCGGCGCTAGAATACTTACCCGTCTTCTTTATTGTTTTAATATTTTCTCGTGGGATATTTAAAAACTAAATTGCCTAACATAATATAAGTCTAATTCAAAGTTTGATAAGAATTACATTTCATATTTAATCACTACACGTAATCGTTAATAAGTTACACAAGTCGCGAAATATTTGCATACTTTTTACTTTCAGAAAGTGAGAATAATCTAGTTATAATTAATTTATAATGAAGATTGTGTAGTACAAAATAAAATTGTACTGTTTTTACTCGTCGTTTGCAAGTGAACGTGTTAAATTAAGCACGGTTGATACATCAAAAAGTCAGAAAGTGAATTATGTGTACATTCATCACGCCTAACGATGTGAAGAAGTTTTTACATCTTTGAACAGCTGAGATGATGAGTTTGAGCATTATTTAGGGTACTCACTGCTTTCTCACTCACTATGCTCTCTTTATATTATTTTGTTTGCAATTAACGAGGGCATCATTACTGATAGAAATGCTTTTAAAACCTAATGTTTAGCATTAGGTTTAGGGTAATCTGGAATGAAATTAAAATTAAAAGCTCCATGGCAGCCACAATTTCTTAATAAATTATAGTAAGCATCACTGAAGTAGGTGTTTATGGAGTTTATGGAGGTCTAGCACGAAAAAGTTTCGTCTTTGAATCGTTTGCGTATAATTCCAATTAAAATACTGAACTGTCCTATCCATGCATGACATTGACAGTGGGGCGCTACCGTCAATACCGGATCGCTGGTTCCGATTTTTGCCATGTTGGAAACCATATAGTTGAACGATGGTAGCGCCCCCCTGTCATTGAGTTTGGTGGGACAGTTCAGCGTGGGTCATCTATATGCGAAATAATTCGACCTCGATTGTCAAAATTAGTTTCGTGCTACCATTCTCATACCAAGTTCACTTTACGTCGTGTTCGCAGAGTCACTGTTTATGTTTTCATACTAAATATTTTGATGGCGATTCGAATACGCAAACGATTGTAAGTCTAAAGTTATTCGTGCTAGAAATACTACAGATGCCCTTAACATATACTATATTTACAGTCCACTTATATGGCCACATCCAACGCCCGCTGGCTCTACCGGTTCTAATCCTGCAGGATCAGGATAATAATAATATGCTTTGCGAGAGCATTAGGGACTAGCGGAACTAGATAAACAAGAAAACTAAACGGGTATTGGAGGATACAGGGAAACATGCCCTTTGCAGAAATACTTACTTAACACGTCTTTTAAACAGCTTGCTTGCATTGAATGCTCGCAGGTCGTTGTCGTTTATGTGAAAAGAGTTTTTATAGTCATCGCCCGAAGGATTATAGGTTTGTTGCAGCTAAGATAGAGTCAGATTTACCTTATTAAGCTAGAGTAAAAACTGTAAAGGTCAAGGTCGCGGGAAGAGCCTGGATGCGGGGGCGCAGGGCCGTTCATTGTGGAAAACCTTGGGGGAGGCCTTTGTCCAGCGGTGGACGTCATTTGGCTAAAACGAACGAACGATAAACTATAAAAAATCATTACTTAGACAATAGCCCAATAGTACAGACATATTATCGCAGCAGAGAGGACCCTAGTTCATTCCCGACCGGTACAGGACTATTGTGGTGAACCCACCATAACTGATTTAGGTAGAGGGGATAACGGGAATATTGGCCTACCACGTACAACTCTGGGAAATTATGTTAGAGACGCTTTTTGGATGTTTTTGTAAATTGATTTTAAATAATCTATTTGCAGAGGGCTGAGTGTGTTTTTACATCAAACGTAGTACTCACTAGTGAACGCATTAAAAATATATGAAAATTTTAGTTCTTGAACGTTTCCGCTAGGGGCGTTGTACAATCCGTCATATACATTTAATGTAATTTTTTTACGCGCTCACCCTTGACGACGTTAGAAGTAAACTCACACCCAGCCTTCAGAAAATAAATGACTTTAAATTCTAATCATTTATTTGCGTTACATGTGTGGTTTACTCGTAATCCACAAATGTGGTTGTATTTGTTTGTTCACTATACATTAATTTTCTATAATGCTCTAAAAATGATCGTAAATTGCGTTTCATTACCTTGCATCTGAAGTTAAACCTTCATCTTTCACCATTCGCAGCATCGCAATAGTGTTCATGATCTTCGTCAACGACGGCGCGGGGGGCTACTGGTGGCTGGAGCACGCCACGTGGAACGGGATGGTGGCCGGCGACCTGGTGTTCCCTGCCTTCCTGTGGATCATGGGCGTTTGCATCCCTCTGTCCGTCAAGAGCGCCTTCGCTAAAGGAGTCCCGAGGTGGAAGATTGTGCTGCACATCGTCAGGGTATGTGTGCATCAGATTTATTAATATTTAGGCTGAGTTGCACCACCTAACTTTGACCGTAACTTCAACGATAACTGGTGTTTTTTGTATGGGGTTTGACAGATTTTTTACGTTTTTCAAAGTTAAAATAAGATGGTGCAACCCAGCCTTAGAATGTTTTATTTGACAGAAGGTACACAAGCATGACACAGACAACTGCTTGTGCTTGTGTGATCCTCTGACAAAAAAAACACTACCTAGGTACCTACTTATTATTATGATAGACTTACGTAATAAAATTTTAAGCTATTTTCCGTTCATTATCCTATTTCCTCTTTTCATTTTATTGATGAAAAGTCTTGTACCTACCACTTTATTGGCACATCAAAGGAACAATCCAATAATCTATTGTCTAGTTCGGAAAATGTTTTCGTTCACAAGTTTTTATTTTTAACACAAATAACTTAATTAACGTGTTTATTATTGACGTATTTTTATTTTTCCTACAGTGTTATTAATTTAATTAATTGGTTTTCGATAAAAATGCTATTAAAGACAAACAAGATCTTTTATGTCCAGTAGGAGACAGTAAATGATTTGTTCATACAATAAATGATGTTAAAACTGTCGTTATATAAATAAAGACGTTATCCTGGTGTTGTGGTGTAGCTATGACACATCATAGTAGTTAAAATAGCAGTTATTGATGATGACCTACGTACACTTAACTTTGTGGAAATAAATATAAGTTTAATGCCCGTTTTCACCATTACACACCCTTATTTTTAAGTGACCCCTATGAAAATAAATTTCATGACGTTATGTGTTACTTAAAATACACTACATAGGGGTCACTTAAAAATTAGGGATTAATGGTGAAAACGGGCATAAGAGTTCGGAACTAGGTAGGTATAGCATACCGAGCGCTTAGCTTGCATGCTAATAAGTCCTCCAGAGCCTCTAGAGATATTTAAATCCAGCTTACCGGTAGAGACTTGGTAGAGACAAGCTAGATCGAACTTAAAAAAGGCCAATACTTTCAAAAAATACGTCGGGCGAAAAACAATGTAACTTTTTGCAGACAGTTCGCACACACAGGCCTGCCTGCAAGAAGCTTTAGTGCTAGAGATGGGCCGACTAGTCGCCGACTAGTCGGGAAAGCCGACTATTCGGCATCATTTGTAGTCGGCCGACTAGTGACGACTATTCGGCAAAATATGCCGATTATAATCGGCGCATTACAAAATTAAATATGTGTGTGAATGAAATAAACTCATAATCACCAAGATGATTACCTAGGTCTACCTAGGCCAGGGGCGTTTATCTAAACCACTATTGACTACAAAAAATCAGTAAAAAGTGGTTTCACTCGATTTAAAATTTTGGCAATCAGTCTAAATTCATACAAAGTTAGTTAACATTAGTTAAAATTACCAGGAAATCATCAAAAATGTGTAAATTCTATGTAATTTGTCCAAAATTATGACACTTTTTTTCGGGGAAAAAATGCATGGAATTGCATACCTATCCTGCGGGGAAGTGGTAGATTATGTGGGGCTCCTCTCACCGGAAGGATGAGGAATACCCACTTAAATAACCCCTGAGATTGCCTTAGTGTGAAAAACTATGGGAATCCGGACAAAGCCATCTACTATCACAGTCCGTCCCGGCAAATTGCCCACCTGTAAGCTCGCTGACCAACATCGTGGAGGGTGGAGAGGAATCAGTGGGCCAAGGATACGTGCCGCGATAAGCGCAATTTTGCCCATACATTTTGACGTCGATCAGTAAGAATAATATCACGGCGCGCATCCTAGCCCAGCAGGAGGCGATCATTTTGTCACCTACTCTGACCCCTCCGCCGTCGAAAATTATGACATCTACCTTAGGTACTGTTAGGTGATTGTAATGTTGCTTTTTATTTTTTCTCATATTAAAGAAAACTCATTTTTCAAGAAGTTAATCTCTTTAGAAATCTAGATATTCATATTTCTTTGAGAAAATCTAAATAATTTATTCTTTGGACAAGTAGGTATTAGAATGATCGGCATTGCCGATTAGTCGGCCGACTAATCGGCAATTTGAAAACCGATTAGTCGGCTAGTCGGTTAGTCGGCAAAGACCATAGTCGGCCCATCACTAAATTAGTGCTTAAAGCTCGCGCTCAGGGTGGATGGGCCCGTAACCTTTTAGAACCAGTATTATTATGTAAACGTTGCGTAGCACTGGCGGAACGAGAACATTGGCTTTAATAGGATGCACTCTGATAGTACTGTGGAGCTATACAATGAGATGCTTTTTTACGTCCAATGGGCTCTATTGAAATGAAGCGCGATTTTTTCAGCTTTACCTAGTTCTCTACATGCGATTAAAACGTATTTCAGTAGGCCTAAGATGCGCGCCGCGATAAGCGGTTATCACGCCATTTTATCGATTTTTCCCATACATTTTGACTTCGATAAAAGTTATCACGGCGCGCATCTTAGGCCTACAGTTTCAGTCTAAATAGTAAAACAACTTATCACAGATGATAATGGTTAAGTAAGATACCTATACAGTAAGGAAGATTTTACGTAGTTATCTTAAATTATGCTAATAGAAAGTCATCAAAAAAGCATATAAGCTCATGATCGGGTCCTCCAATGACTGTGTAATGGGAAGCTTATCCATTGTAAACAGAAATTATATTCACCGCACGCGACCTCTCACTTTCAAATCGATTGCGTCACTTTTCACTTCCTTATTTTATGTGATTCTATAGAATCTTAATACAATATCTGGGAGATACGAGTATGTCGGACGCACGCGCCATTGCAGAATTTTTCATTGGAAATTCTGTTCTCGCGTGTCTCGCTCGGAGCTTTCTCCTCTCGGTGAATGATGATTTTACAAGTCATTCATACATTTCATTGTTTGTTTAATGGATAGAGCGCTGTGTACAATCACATACGCCGTTGTATATCGCACAATCGTAATTAGCGTCCGGCTGATGGAATTTTAAAGACACCGCTTATTAGTTTTGACGCTGTGACTGTGACCCAGTGCGGCCTGGTTTAGATGCATACTTCTGAATTGAGGATACAGTTTGACTAAGACAATGATTAGGCATTGATGTCATGATTTGAGAACTAGATTATTGTACCTACTATTGAGAGTATTGTGAGAGGTGAATATTTCGACGCATATACACTTTACATTGAGAATCGTAATAGCGCCGGGTTAGAGGCAAAAGAGATTATTTCCATAGTTGGATTTATCACCATTAGATAAAAATTAAATGCTGTGCCGACAGGACATTTAAGAGAATAGCTAAAAAAATTTTAGTAGATAGGTAGTCGGTTTTCCCTCTAACCCGACGGTAGCATTTTATCACATGAAATAAAGTTCTTATAATGAGAAATTGATCTTTTATAGCATTGTTTTGAGTAAGAAACTTCATTATTTAATGAATAGGCATAATAAACATATGATAACTTTGTTATTGTAACACTTCACGGCTATTATAACATTGTGTCAATATTATTCCGTTTGATTACCTACGATAGATTACAACTTCTCGGGGAAAAAAGCGTTGATCAACAAATAATTATGACTCTTTATTGTATGCTACCCATAGTAGGTATAAGCGTTGCTTATAAGTATAGCGTAGTGTTAGAGTCCAAGAATAATTTATTTATTACTAGCGACCTGCCTCGGGTCGCGTGGGACGTCCACCTACAAGGTGGACCGACGACATCGTAAAGGTAGCAGGGAAGCGCTGGACGCAGACCGCTGCCAATCGATCAACATGGAAAGCATTGGGGGAGGCCTATGTTCAGCAGTGGACGTCCTATGGCTGAAATGATAATGATGATGATGACCTGCCTCGGCTTTGCACGGGTTCAATGTTAATTAAAAACCTCCCTCTTGATTCCAGACTATCTGTTGCTGAAAACTGCATTAAAATCCGTTGAGTAGTTTAAAAGTCCAAGGGTACAGAGAAGCGACTTCATTTTATACTATGTAAATAGTTAAATACCAACCGCAACTACCAATCGGGCGATGTGGAAGTCATTGAGAATGAGAGCCTTATTCAGCAGTGGACGTCCTGCGATATGATGATGATTATGTTATTATTTAGCTAACACTTCGTTCCTGTTCCAGAGGTCCATAATGATGTTCCTGCTGGGCATGAGCCTGAACACGATCTACGGCTCCAACATGCTGCAGCAGCTGCGTATCTTCGGCGTGCTGCAGCGGCTGGCGGTGGCCTACTTCATCTCCGCTGGCTTCTACGCCCTCACCGCGCCTAAGTACTACACGCCGCCTAGAGTAAGTTTTACAGTCCACAGCACATCGGATTATACCTACATCTACACTAATATTATAAAGAGGAAAACTTTGTTTGTTTGGTTGTAATGAATAGGCTCAAAAACTACTGGACCCTTTTTAAAAATTCTTTCACCATTCGAAAGCTACATTATCCAGCTAGTTTTTGTTATAAAATAGAAACTATTGCAACAACAGTGTTTAGTTTGAGGGATGTGCTGTTTTGTCTGTATCTATGAGCCACTTCCCTGCCACCGCAGGTTGCTATAGCAATTGCATGCTTATAAGCATGCACCTGCGGCTTGTAAGCCACCTGTTCACCTGTAAGTTTTATGTATAAAACTCAGGTACAAGTGATCCCGTGAAATCCGTAATCAATCCATCATCATGAAATCATATGCAAATGATACTCTAATAAAACCTTTTCAGCCTTTTAATTTATAAGCTCCACGTTTAGTTTAGATAGAGTTACCAGTGTCGTGAATTGGATTCTACCTCGACTTTGAAACGAGTTTTATAATTGTCGTTTCCTAAGGCACGGTCAACAAAGAGAGGAGAAGAGTTTGTCGTTATTTCCACATTACCTCTTTGTTCAGCTCCGGTTCGAAAATCTGACTGGTTATTCAAATACATCTTTCATCCTCTCTGGTGGAAACCGGGTCTATTATGTTTTTAATAGCTTCCAAAGAGCACTTCTGAATTCTGAAAAATAACATACAGTAATATCCTCACCTCAATTTGCAGGGAGCTTGCGGGCAGGCACTAAAGGACGTGCTATCGTGCGTGTGGTGCTGGGCACTGGCCGCTGTGTTGGTAGCGCTGCACAGCGCTGTCACCTTCACCGTGCACCACCCCGACTGCCCGCCGTAAGAATCTACAGGGTGGAAACGATAAGTGATCTCACTCGATTATTTCTAAACTATACAAGATATCAAAAAATTAGTTACTGATCCTGAAAGTGCTTTATGAGCTCTATCAAACGGTATTAATAATAGGTTACAGAATAAACTGGACCTATCCGAAAATTCAATGTATTCAAGAGCTCATGAAGCACTTTCAGGATCAGTAACCAGTTTTTCAATATGTTGTATAGTTTAGAAATAATCAAGTGAGATCACTTAACGTTTCCACCCTGTATAAGCTGCGATATAAGCCATGCCATGTAGGCACTGGCAGTACGTCTGACCACTTATACAATTTATTGGCTATTGAAAAATCGCCACTATTACAACTATACTGGCGGACAAAATAATAAGTTCTCCCTATTTTGTCATAAGGCCAGCTACTTAGATACAGCGATAATCGAGCGGTTGCTGAGAGTTCTCGTACATGAAGCAGATCAAATAGGCCGGTATTGTACATTTTACATGCACTTGTAAAAATTAATATACTCAAAGTACAACAGTTTAATGTTTATATTTTATACCAATTTCCAATCTATCCTTTCCCTTGCAGAGGCTACTTAGGCCCAGGCGGCAAGCACGACGACTGGGTAGCCCCGGAATGTAGCGGTGGCGCGGCGGGCTACATCGACCGCCTGCTGCTAGGATCGGCACATCTCTTCCAGCACAGCGACGCGAGACGAGTCTACGGAGGACCACCCACCGACCCTGAAGGACTGCTTGGTGAGAAAGCTAAAGTTTATTTGAGTCATAGGTAAACATAGGAGGCGCGGCGGGCTACATCGACCGCCTGTATGGGATCCTCGCATCTCTTCCAGCACAGCGACGCGAGGAAGGTCTACGGAGGACCGCCCACCGACCCTGATGAACTTCTTGGTAAGATTACTCAAAATTCGAATTATAAACATAGAAGGCGCGGCGAGCTACATCGACCGCCTGCTGCTGGGATCCTCGTATCTCTTCCAGCACAGCGACGCGAGGAAGGTCTACGGGGGACCGCCTACTGACCCTGAAGGACTTCTTGGTAAGATTATGCGAAATTCAAATGATAAACATAGGCAACGTAGCGGGCTACATCGACCGCCTGCTGTTAGGATCAGCACATCTCTTCCAGCACAGCGACGCCAGGCGGGTCTACGGGGGACCACCCACCGACCCTGAAGGACTGCTTGGTGAGAGCTACTTAGGTCCCAGCTGCAAGCACGACGACTGGGTCATGGTAATACTATCTATACCGTGACTGGGTAGCGCTCGAGTGCAGCGGCGACGCGGTGGGCTACATCAACCGCCTGCTGCTAGGATCAGCACATCTCTTCCAGCACAGCGACGCGAGGAAGGTCTACGGGGGACCACCCACCGACCCTGAAGGACTGCTTGGTGAGAATGCTAATATTGTTCGAATTTCAAACAAAGGCGGCGTACATACATCGATCATCTGCTGCTGGGATCCTCGTATCTCTTCCAGCACAGCGAGGAAGGTCTACGGAGGACCACCCACCGACCCTGAAGGACTGCTTGGTAAGATTATTCGAAATTCGAATTATAAACATAGGAGGCACAGCGGACTACATTCACCGCCTGTATGGGATTCTCGCAACTCTTCCGACACAGCGACGCTAGGGGAGTCTACGGAGGACCACCCACTGACCCTGAAGGATTACTTGGTGCAAACGGTTAAAAATTCGTAGCCAAGATTGGACCTAAGCCATAAGCCAATGTGTGGCTCTGGCGTGAAGTAGAGTGAAGCTGAATAGCGAAGAATTCAGTTCAACTATCGCATTATAATTTTGATGGTGTTGAACACTAATGATGATAAGTTTATGAACTACCAGCTAAACTACTCGAAGTAACAGCACTTATGAAAATTCTTGGTAAAAGAAGCCTTTATTGTCCAGCAGTGGACGTCGTTTGACAAAAGACCGAACGAAAGATATTACCTACAAAAGAACATAATACACATTTATGACTTTTTGTGTAAAGCAAACACTAAACTCGGTCTACAAAATGGAATTCTACATATCTATTTTCTATCTCGTCCCAGGTTGTCTGACATCGGCCGTGCAAGTCCTCCTGGGCATCCAGGCGGGGGCCACCGTGCTCCTGCAACGCTCCCACAAGTCCCGGATATCCCGCTGGCTCGCTTGGGGACTGGTCTTCGCACTTTCTGGAGCGCTGCTCGCAGGCTTCTCCAGGGAACACGGAGTCATTCCGATTAACAAAAACTTGTGGTAAGTTTATTCTCCTAATGCCCGTTTTCACAATCAATCCCCAATTTTTAAGTGACCCCTATGGTAACACACAAGAGGCATTTTGTTTTCATAGGGGTCACTTAAAAATTAGGGATTGATGGTGAAAACGGGCATAAGTATCTCTAACAAGGTCTGAAAACCTATCGCTTAGCAGCTCCAGGGAGTTAGTTTCAGCAGAGGTCTCCGTTAAAAACAACCTTTTGTATGTACATGTGTGTTCACCATGATAGGTACAGTCGACAGCACATCAAGCTATACATTTTCGTTGCAAAGTCGCCCGTATCGCAACTACGTAAGATACCACAGTGTTTACGTTGACGTGCTGTTGACCGTACTTATTCAAGACCTATCAACAAATTCGACATCAACCTTTGACCACAATAAATTGTAATAGAAAATCCATTGTGTTAATTTAGTACACACGAAAGGTTATGTAATTATGTCCCTTACAAAGCCCAGACCATATCCTAACTCTCTGATGGTCCCCCGCCAAGCCTTGACCGCGGCGTAATTTAAAGTTACCTGATTGTTTATCGACTCTGCGTTCATTTGTTTTACTTCTCCAAACTTATCTTCCCGGGACTTTTATTCCCAGGTCCATGTCCTTCGTGCTAGTGACGTCAGCGTGCTGCCTGGTGCTTCTCAGTGTCTGCTACACCCTAACCGACGCGTGGCGGCTTTGGAACGGGGGCCCCTTCCGCGCACCGGGACTCAACGCAATCGCTCTCTACGTGGGTCACTCGGTCTGCGCACACCTCTTCCCCTTCCACTGGAGTGTGCCCCACATGAGGACCCACGCCATCAGCTTGATAGAGGCCACGTGGGGCACCGCGCTGTGGGTCATCATCGCGCACGTCATGGCCAAGAAAAAAGTATTCATCACCCTCTGATTGTCGGATGGACACGCCGGCTTCTGGTCCCGCTACGTCAAGTTGTAGAAAGATCAGTGTATGGACAAATTTATGATTTAAGATTGATATTTTTGTGAAAATTCATCGGTTATTTCAAAAACATCAGAATTGTTCAAATATTTATAGAATTTATACTTCAGTGCCCTACTATAGTGGATCATAAATGTAATTGAAATTCAGATGGAGATCAGTGTGGTCAGTTTTTTGGTGTCAAACATTTTTCGCATTTAATTTTGATATTTGTATATTGTATAGGTAATGAGATTAATTTGTTCTCAAATGCCTTTAAAATGCATTTTACGTATAATTTGTTTTCGGAACCTGTGTCTTGAATGTGTCTTTGATTAATGTTGAGACTGAGTCCAATTCGTAAGTTAATCTTCTTGTTAAAAATTGTGACGCGAATATTTTGTAGTATCTAGTCTTAAAACTATAAAATAGTGTCTTGAAATGACAGTTGCCTGTATGTAATGCGTTATTTTATAAGGCTGCTAAAATAAAATAAAGTATTTTAAATATTTCTTAACTTTTCATTTATATACCACACACAACAAGCCAAATAAATGCATATTCAACCAAGAAAATATAGTTCTGCAAAGTGATCCAGGTATTTCAGTTTTTGATAACATGCTCATTCTTTACTCTTGTTTAAACAGGCAGCAGGAAAACCTAGGGAAATTTATAGGATAGGGTATTAAAACGGCCGGTATACAATATTTGACACTTTATTAGCTCAAGGGTGACAGTAAAATCCGCAATGTCATTGGAAAATAATAATAAAACAAACGATTCAACAAATCATGACTCAAGGTAACAGCGAATAGTTTTAACAATAAAACTATCAATAAAATTACACTTCAAAATGTATAACAAACTACCGCAGGCGCACAGTCCCGCTCCCACAGCGACCCGTTCGAAATTTGAATTTGGAATGTTCGTTCATGCATGCGATGTCAAATGTCAATTGGTTCTCTCATGCATCACATTTCATTCATTCTTCAAATCGAATTGTATCGATGCAATCATCGATCGATCTCGAACGGGTCGTTACTATTGTCACCCAAAATGTGTGCGGTGCTCACAAAATAACATGTAAAATTATGTATGTTTGGCATTCCATTACAATGCATCGTGTCAGACGACCGCGCACGCTGCGCTACTTAATAATATAATTCCATAAGTTAAATATCAACTAATTTAGTTAATTTATATAAGTCGTTTTCAATTACATCACTCTTTTTGTAGACAGTAAATGCCATGTTAGGAATTAAACATTTTACATGTTAAATACTTTAAAAGTACAAAGTTTCTAAAATGATACTTTTCTATCGTCATTTGCTACACTATCGTTGATGCTTATTTCGTATTGGTAAAATCAATGCTGATAGCAGGCACGCACGTTCAACACTGTATCTGGAGTAGATACTACCGTACAGTAAACTAGAGACCTAACTTGTATAGCGATAAAGACACGTAAAACAGTGTTAAATATATATTTCTAAAATTTCATTAGAAAAAATCTCTTAAAATATATCTCAATTCTCTTAATACGATCCCTGGTGAGACGGGTCAATATAATGATGATATATTATATCTCAGCGTAATATAAATAGACATTTCCTTAATTCTCTAAATAGGAAGAACTTTCAAAATGTAAAAGATAATTGCACACACATTAAAAATATTAATACGAAACAATATTTATTTAGGCCGGTAATTTAACAGATGTAATAAATGATAACAAGTAGTTGATACAGATTTTAAGTAAAATTTTGATTTTATAAATAAAAATAATAAAAATTGATTTTACTAAAAAAATGTTTGAGCATATAAATATTTCAAAAACACTATTCTAATGATCAAAAGTAATAAGATACTTCTGTTTATCACATCCGTTAAATTCAACTGGCAATTCGTAATTCTATCAAAATTGCTATACAATAATAGACTAATGGCAACACAGAGTCGACAAGACTGCTTTTAAGCACAACGCTTAGCAGTGAAGTCAACAACGTTTAATTGATTTTACAAATTGATACTGGAATTTTGTTCAATATCAAATTAATGTAGAATTGATTTCACTACTTTTAACAACAAAAAACAATTTATAAACTCCATTTATCCCAACTAATATTATAAATGCGAAAGTAACTCTGTCTGTCTGTCTGTCTGTTACGCTTTCCCGCTTAAACCTCGCAACCGATTTTGATGAAATTTGGCATAGAGATAGTTTGAGTCCCGGGAAAGAACATAGGATAGTTTTTATCCCGGTTTTTGAAACAGGGACGCGCGCGATAAAGTTTTTCTGTGACAGACAAAATTCCACGCGGGCGAAGCCGCGGGCGGAAAACTAGTTATTCAATAAGTATAATAAAATTCTGCTGGTCTGCATGAATTTTCTTTAGTATTTCAATCATACGTTGCATAGCTACACTAAGCGCCGTGCTTACTACAGACTCGGCGACTCCGTGGCCCGTAAGAACAGCATAGACATTTAATATTGATGTATAAACACTAGCGAAGTAATAACAGCTCGATATATAACATATGTGAAACAGACATTTGTACAGAGTTAATTAATATGTATTATTCTAAGTTAGTGTAAGTACACGAGCTCACTTTAAGTCACTCATTCTACTCGAGAAGTATGGAATGTTTAGTAAAGAATGTTAGTGGTGCATGCAGTTTACCAAACTGCGAATGCGTTCCCAGAATGGAATTATTATTGGCAAGACCGGGGACTAGTGTTGCCATATATTTCAGTAGAATTTAGACTATAGATAAAATCCATTGACAGTAAATTGGTGAGAAAATCCTTTCGGCACTTGTTAGGAAATTAAACTTTGATTCGTAAGTTTGCGTAGAAACTCTTTAGTGGTGTCATTCTATTAATTTAAGGCACTTTAAGAAAATTAAAGAACTATGATTAAATTAAATTAAATTTGAATGGAATATAAAATTTTACAAAAATATAAGGCTTAACGTCCCCGGATGAAATATAAAAATACAACTAACGTCAGGCGGTAGAGATTCCTTCAAAGGCTTACGCGAAACTGTTACAGCAAATTACACATAAAATACTGCTAGTACTTGAAGGGTCAATATGCTCATGGTATGGAGGCTCATGTTAGCTACTTCACGTTAGTTTCTCGAAGGCATGCCATTATTTGTACTTGTAAATCTGTTGAGCGCAGTATGAGATTGAATACAGCTAAATGTTTCTATCGCGAGGCCTCTACAATGAGGCCCCATGGTTCTACAAGAGACTAGATATAACCGAAAACAATTGTCATACAAATCGGCTTTATACAGGTCCTCTATGGATATATCTAATGTTATCTTAAATACAAGATAAAATCTCTTAGGACGACACACATTTCGCTATAAATGCAAATTCATGGAATTCAATATTTACCGTTAAGACGCGCGTGTATGGTGCGCGCCTTATATTATGCTACGAAGATTCCGACAACACCACCATAACACGATAGCTGAAGAAGTAGGCCGACCTGCCAGACGCGGGGGAAGTCCACACACCTTCCGTCTCTGTCTGGCATCGTATCATCGGAAAGAGAGGCAACAACTTCAAGTCTGGTAAATAGAGTTATATCAAATTCACAAAAGGGTTGCCTTTTGCATCTCTACTACAATATAATTTAAATAGTGACCAGTCACAACTTATCGCCTGCTTAGTCCAGTGCCACTGCAGAACGTATGGGCCAATAATGATCCACGTAACATCAACTGACGACCGCGCGCTCGCCGCGGCGACATACTATTACAACGTATGCTTTGGGTAACAAATAAATCCTTAACCTAATTGCACATTTTAATAAAAACACGCACAAATTAAAACTTAAATTATGTAACGCTTCTACAGCACTATTAAAATATATTACGAGATTTCAAACAACACGCGTAAATAACTATCGACTTATTTAATCCCCAGTACTATTCCCTGTCTTGGAGTCAATCCTCGGACACGTCTCGACGTAACGGCGTGGAACAAAATAAATATCTAGTGGCACGGGCACAGACCTACCACTAACTGAGCAACCCACCGACCGTGTAAATACTTCCAAAATATACATCATCAATTACATACACGCCGTAAGGGACTTACGATTATGAACAACGCTAGCAACTGTGAGAACCAACGCTTACAGTTTCTCACAGCCTTTTGTGTCAACGCATCGAATCGGACCACAAGATGAAACCTTAAATATACATATCAAATTCAAAAATTATAATTCTTTCTTTGTCAGGTGGCTCAGTATGTCATTCTAGTGATCCCTCGTATAATGCAACGGAATAAACAATATTGTATTGCTGATCTCTGTACCAAAAGAGCCGATAGATATTTATAGTGCTAAAGATATTCATATTTTTCAAATATCCCAACTTCAGCTCCCGAATAAAAATTCTTCACTAAATCGGACCCTTGAGAATCAACAAGCCACAGATTTTATCAAATCATTATTGCGTTATAAAACAGCGAAACAAAAATCGATACTGAGCCACCTACATAAAACCGCCCGTATCTTGTGATCGAATTCGAAGCCGATCGTGTAATACATGTGTGTGATGTCACAGCGGGCGGTGACGTCACTTGCGGCCGCGCGTGACCAGCGCCTGCAAGGCGGCCAGCTGGCTGAGGAGACTCGCATTCTTCTGTTCCAACGTCTCGACCCTTTTTCTGTAGTCTGAATTCTCTGATACTAAAATTTCTACCTTCCTCTCCAACTGGTCCATGTATTCCTTCTTTTTGCGCCGGCTTTCTTGTGCAGATATCTGGAAAGAAAAGAATGGTGAGTTATAGGTTTGTTCTTTTATTGGTATTCGGGTATTTATATGCACTCACCAGTTGGCGCCACTGGCGAATGATAAGATCTTAATCTACAGTGGCGCCAACTTAGTGACTGCAGATGCGATACTCCTCCTATAGCTTCAGGGCTCTTCATTGGCACCACTGTGCAAGCAAGTGGCAGGACATTTTCATCTAATTTATTCTTTTCACCAGTGGCGTATTACTAGCGTAATATCGGTGTGCTTGTTGCGAGCTTACACCAAACGTCATCGCTTGCGACTGCGTAAAAATATGTCATGAAATGAATCTAAAATCTTCATAGATTTTTTGATGCACTTACTAGCGACGACGTGCAATAAACTCTACTGTAACTCGCACTAAGCACTCTGGTTTTCTCATGGATTTGGTAGAATACAATTACCTTATTTTTAATTTTCCTCCGTATCTTCTTGAGCGACTTCTCCTCGGCCTTGGTGAGCGGCAGGCGCGTAGGTACCGGGTAGCCCTCGGCTAGGAGAGTGCGCTTCTCTTCTTCCGTCAGCATTAGCGTGCCTGTCGAGCCTTTCTGTAATTAAATACCGAAGGGTTAATTAAGATTTGTGAAGTGACAATTATTTTGTATTTGGGAAAAGCATAACTTCCTCAGATGATCGCAGAGTCTGGCACAGAGAAGGGCAATACAGACCACATTACGTAGGATCCCCCAATAGGCTAGTTTCCTAAAAATTTTTTTTTAATCCGTCAATTTTAGTATAAAAAAATATTGGACACGTATATTTTTAATTGTCAATCAAACAAATAATTACAAAGTTATAGTGCGTTGAAGTTCCGCGCGACGTCACAAAGTGCTGCACTTTTACGCACTCACTGACGTCACAGGCCTTTTCTTTAGAACTTTGGCACGCTTTATCCCTTTACATTTTCATTAGTTTTAAAAGTGAAAAATACGTGTTGAATAGTTTTTGATAAGCTAACTGAAGGACTAATTAAAACTCTTGCTTTTTTACCCAGGAAACATCCCTATTTAGACACTTAAGAACGAAACATAAGGTAAGAACAATTTCCAGGAGGGGGAGGGGTGGCTGGTTGCCTGGCCAGCTAACCTCGCCCTCTGTCAGTACGCTCATGACTAGAGACGTGTCAACTAATCACTTACTATCAGGTGCGATTGCGGTAAAATACTTGTCTCGTTCGGCATAAAAACACATTGTGGTCCAAAATGCCATACAAAATAAAGAGGGGGACAGCGCCCCCTTACTGTCGGATAACGGGGATATGGACACTCACCTGTCCTCACATGGGCAGGGCACATAGAACTCAGAACTGACGGCCGATTGGGCAGCAAGGTTCTGGAATGGTGGCCGCGTACCGGAAAACGCAGCGTGTGACGTCCACCTACAAGGTGGACCGACGACATCGTAAAGGTAGCAGGGAAGTGCTGGACTACCGCTACCAATCAATCAACGTGGAAAGCATTGGGAGAGGCCTATGTTCAGCAGTGGACGTGAATGATGATGTACACTCACCGGCTGGCTGCTAATGAGCGGCGTGTTGATGGGCTGGCGCGAGTGGTGCGACACATACAGGCACGGGGGTGGTTCCCTCATGCTCGGGGGACAGCGCCCCTTCGCTGTATGATGACGTCAGGTGGGGGGCAGTTGAGATGTGACACTCACCGGCTGGCTGCTAATGAGCGGCGTGTTGATGGGCTGGCGCGAGTGGTGAGACACGTAGGTACAGGTGGCTGCGGCGCGAGGGTCGCCCCCTCGTACTCGGAGGATAAAGCCACTTCTCTGTCTGATGACGTCAGGTGGAGGGCAGTTGAGATGTGTACTCACCGGCTGGCTGCTAATGAGCGGCGTGCTGATGGGCTGGCGCGAGTGGTGCGACACGTACAGGTGGAACAGCGCGAGGGGTATGATGACGTCAGGAGGAGGGCAGTTGAGATGTGTACTCACCGGCTGGCTGCTAATGAGCGGCGTGCTGATGGGCTGGCGCGAGTGGTGCGACACGTACAGGTGGAACAGCGCGAGGGGTATGATGACGTCAGGAGGAGGGCAGTTGAGATGTGTACTCACCGGCTGGCTGCTAATGAGCGGCGTGTTGATGGGCTGGCGTGAGTGATGCGACACGTACAGGTGGAACAGCGCGAGGGGTATGATGACGTCAGGGGGGGGGCAGTTGAGATGTGACACTCACCGGCTGGCTGCTAATGAGCGGCGTGTTGATGGGCTGGCGCGAGTGGTGCGACACGTACAGGTGGCTGCGGCGCGAGGAGTACGATGACGTCAGGTGGAGGACAGTTGAGATGAGACACTCACCGGCTGACTACCAATGAGTGGCGTGTTGATGGGCTGGCGCGAGTGGTGAGACACGTACAGATAGCTGCGACGCGAGGGGTATGATGACGTCAGGTGGGGGCAGTTGAGATGTACACTTACCGGCTGGCTGCTAATGAGCGGCGTGTTGATGGGCTGGCGCGAGTGGTGCGACACGTACAGGTGGCTGCGGCGCGAGGGGGCGGCGGCGGGCGCGGGGGTGGCTCCCTCGTGCTCGGGGGATAAAGCCCCTTCGCTGTCGGATGATGATAGCGACGAAGGCGGCGTAGGGGGTAAGTTGAACCCTGTAAGGAGATTAATTTTAGTGGCGTTCAAGTTCAATCCAAAATATTTTTGGTTCTAGCGTACTAAGAGCATTTTGATCCAAAAAAATGACAGGTATTTTTATTTCAATTAGAGGATTTCAATCGTCTGAGAAAAGTTGACACATGTAGAAGAATACAGCATTATGCGTTTAAATGTCCTGGCGAACACTTTCAGGCTGAAAGTTTCAGCTTACTCAACGGCTCACGGACAGCATTAACGAGACTTTCTCGTATTATTCTAGTACTTAAACTTCATATTTACACAGAAGGGGTCGCATAAACACAGGACTGATAAGTTATAGAAATCTTTAGCATTAGCAAGTATGTAGTATAAAACGGACAGGATTTCCACTGAAAGGTGAAATGAGAATCCCTAAGCTAATGGCTAAACAGTGTACCTACCATGAGTTTACGTTAGGTGTGCTCGCTAGCGAGTACGTCAAAAATCTCTATGAAGATTTTGTTTCTTGAAAGTAGCCGCTAGGGGCGCTGCACAATATGTCATACAATTAATGTCATTTTTTTACGCAGTCGCTAGCGAGCACACCTAACGTAAACTCATGGTAGGCACACTGATATAAAATAGTAGCGCGTTTTCACCATCAATCCCTAAGTTTTAAGTGACCCCTATGAAAACAAAATTCATGTTATGTGTCACCATAGGGGTCACTTAAAAATGAGGAATTCATGTTGAAAACGGGCATAGAACAAATAAGGTAATCCTAAAGGGAAAAAAACTACGGAAAGGTGATGACTAGCATTCATCACCTCTCAGTATGTAGTTTTTTTTTGGCAATGGCTTTCCTTAGAGACGTTTCTATCTTACCTGACGCTCCCGAGCTGGACGTGACCTTGATGGAGAGCTTGTTGGAGGACAGCGAGTTGGCCAGCCGGGGTGCTGCGCTGAGCAGCAGCTGCGGCACGCCCGCCGCGCCCACCTTCTGAAGAACTGCTTGAGGCATGTGGATTGTGCCCGTCTGGGGACAAAATGGCGGCTAAAGTAAACTTAAGACAACTAATTACCACTACCGCAATAAATTACGGCAGTAGTAGACCAACGAGACTATCAGGAACTCTTCAGATATCGTTCCTATTGCAATGCATGTGTTTAAGGGAGGCCTATGTTCAGCAGTGGACGTCCTTTAGCTGAATGATGATGAATGCATGTGTAGCCATAATTATGTAGCTATGACGACCTATTTTTAAATTGACATGAAGCTCAAGGAACCGATTCTGTGCTCTGCTATTGCTAAATGATAGTGATGGATTGAGCCTTTTTTCCTTCAACTCGTTATAATTGTGAATAGGTTAATTCTCATGCTTTTTTGGTGTTCTAAATACTTCGTAATGACGATGTCAATTCAATTCATTTCAATACATTCTAAAAATTTGTTCATAAAATTGCCTTTCATATATTGAAAACACTAACAAAAACCTTTTAACGAAAATTTCAAGAAACCGCGTTTCTTTAATCAGTGAAATGTTTAATTGTAGATATACAGAGTAAGTGCTTACGATATAATAACAAGGACAGTGCGTAAAAATAATTGCACGAACATAAAGAATTGTCTCGTAAAAATTCCGAAGATACCCGGCGTTTCGCCGAAGTCCGAAACCCCCCAAGAGATTGCGTTAATTACAATCCGCGACATAATTATCACAATAAAGAAATTAATACAGTAGGCTGGCTCGCTAATAGTGTTTTATTAACCAGGCGCACATTACTTATCTGATGATTTTTGTGTCAGTTTACATTATTATGTGCGCTGTGGTGATAGGTACTCTATAAAGCCTAACGTAGAAAGTTAGTCAGTTCTTTATCAACTCCATAATGGATATCCTCACTACTACGTCATGTACCATCAGTACCATAATTATGTGTCTAGTCTAGCTCACAAACGCTTAAACTGATTTGATCTATGGTTTGGCATTACTGTATTCTTTTCGACTGTGTCGTGCGGATCACACGAGCGGCACCGGCGAAAAAGTTGCAATTGAAGACCGGCTCACGGCGAAAGTTGCACCGTCAGTGCTCGGCTAGATGAACTCTAATGACCTTTGATTTTTTGCTCGCCAATCCCAGATCGTGATCTTAGCAATAATTTGCCGAAGATTTTGTGATACGATGACCTACCATTAGCAATAGTTTCGATCGGATTCATTTCCAATCTTCTCATTAAAACGATCGTAAAAGAACACGATTTGATATGCACCAATCACAATCACAAAGGGAAACAGCTGTAATTCGAAATAAATTCCCCCGTTGATGAAACATGCAATTTAGTTAAATGGATAGGTAGGTACTCAATCCTGATGGGAATACTGGTTATATTCATAAATAATCGCATCGTTAGGTTTTTACATATTATAAAGACAAACAAAGCCAGTATTATATTATAATACTGGCTTTGTTTTCTCCTCGGTAACCAGTGGGATGTAAACGTTAATTTTCTGGCAAAACCTGTTTTAAATGTAACGAGACCACAAACTCATTAGCGCTCGTAAACGGCTTCTTTGGTCATGGCAACAGCTCCAAGCGGGGATACGTAGAGCGTTGCTAAGTTGAGATCGGTAAGCCGGGCTATGTTGAAAACACCCAGTAAGAAACATGGTTTAAAGTTTCCTAAAATCTGAAAGCCGGGCAAATACGAATAACCCAGTTATACGGATTTAGAGAATTCCAAATTTCAGGTGATCCCTAGGTAAATAAACATAATTTTAAAACGGTTTTTAAACGGTTGCTAAATTGAGTAACTAGCAGGTTCGTACCTACATGTCCGTACCAGATTTCCAGCCAATCCATCAAGTAGATTTTGAATAAATTGCCTGTGACAGACTGACAGAAAAACAGACACATGAGTGATTTTATAACGGTCCCGCTTTTTCAAAGTTGTAGAACCAGTGACTGACACTGAGTAGACAGTAATTACTCATAAACTAACTTAGGGGCCGGTAATGTTGACTGGACTCTGATTTGTGCGGATTAGCGTCCAAAAAGTCTAACTAACTTTATCCCCGGTTCTATTCGGACGCCTGTAGGTCTAAGATGCGCGCCATGATAAACGTTTATCGCGCCATTTTATCGATTTTACGCGATACACCCATACATTTGACGTCTAAAATCAGTGATAAGATTTTATCGCCCGACTGGAAACTCTACCCACAGGTGGCTACAGAGATCGATGCTAAGTAAATGTGGCTCGGATTTCAACTCGGCCTTTATTTCCCTTAGGAATGCCGACCCATATATCATCCCTCTTAAAGGGGACGAGAGCCATCTCAGACGACATGCAACCAAGGGTGTAAGTAACGTCACGAAATGACGTGACATAAAATGTATTATATTTAAATGAACCCCACATTGTGGTTACGCTGGGGTAACATATTTTTGCAGTTACGACATACCTAAGCTAAAATACCTTTCTCTGTGAAATGTTAAAAGAATGCAAGGTATTCTATGCAAAAAGGGCACAAATTACTAGAATGGCTTGGCAACATGAAACTATTAGGTTCGCAATAAATAATGATTTTAGCTCAGACATTTTTATAATTTCTGTGAGCTAGACCGTAAATTAGAAATATTTGAATATGTAATCGATTAACGTATGTGATGGAAAGGGCAAGGGTGGGTAGTAATAAGAAGCTGGGGAATTGAGCGTTCGACATAATATAACTAAAGAGTGTCAGAAAAGGAAGATAGATTAACGCACTCGTTAGTGGAGTGTGAGTGAAACGAGCATTTCGGGAGTGCGATTGTAATTAGGAGGTGACACAGGTAGGTACTTCAGAATATTCAGGGATGGCAGGTGGACCGATGCTTATTGGAGATTACAGACACGTTTTTAGTTGATAATGTACTTAGTTCGTGACGGGCATGCCAGGAGTGCGAGGGTAGGTAGGAGACGCGTTGTGCCTCTTGTTCAAGTTTGATCCACGTAAGAAGAGTTCCAGACACTTACTGTGTGGTCGATGACATAGTCCAAGTGTGTGACAGGTGTGCCTGGCGTGGGAGATGGTGGGCAGGATGACGCTGGTGACTCTGGTTCGGATTTTGGCTCCATTTTGACCTCCCGTGGCGGTGACTCGCTGGACCTCCGTCGGCTGCTCCAAGCGCTGGCGGGCATTGCTGGGTAACACTCGTCTTCCATGTCTGAAAACGTTGAGATTGCTGTAAAGCATTTGACATGGGCAGTTATAGAAAGAACAAAACCCTATGAGGAGATTCAGGATGTTCGCTTGCTGCTTCATCTTAGCCAAGGCGCAGACCACCGACTTTTTGTCGGCCGATAGTTGGGCGAGCTGTTAAATCAGTTGGACATGTGAAAGTCGCACATTGGATCGGGCGATTCCTCAACTATCGGCCGACTAAAAGTCGGTAGTCTGCAGGGAGTCTTATCATCCTTAATTTGAGTATCTAGTAGTCCATAGGTTAAAGGAAGTATTACCTACTCAAGCAATTATAATTTTAGAAAGTATGCATTTGCGTTTTTCATCAGCGAAACGAAAAACGAAATTCGGCAACAGTTAAGTAAAGTTCGTAACAAAACGAGAAAGTGTAACAATTGCAAATATCGGTAACAATTAACTACTTAGCTAACTGACTTGTATAATTCACCGTTTTACAAAATTGTTATCTTAATTAGCAATCAATGTTGGTAATCGATTGGTGGTTAAATCGGGGCAGTGGCTGGCTTCCTAATTTCCTATATAGGTAAGAGGCAGAGCACACGATACGTTGCGGCGCGGCAGCGCAAAAATTTTGGTGTATCGCGCGGCGCCTCAACGCTTCGTGTGTGTGTATAAGCGCCCTGGAAGGGGGCCTACTAAGCACTGAATAAAAGATTTCTATTTGTGCCCGCCACAGATATTTTTATGTAAAACGACGCAGCGGCTGCCGCAACGCATCGTGTGCTTCGGCCCTAACGTCGGGTGAAATATGCGTCTGCGCAGCCGCCCAGAACAGGGGAAGTGGAGGTGCCAACGTTGCATGCTTCTAATTAACACCTTTACATAGTTTGTGGGTAGTATGCAATCTTCGGCCGCTTCCACGAAGAATTTGCGCCGAGCAATTACACCTATATGAGGGTTTGAAATGGAAGAATAGCAGTTTGCTGAATCATACATTATGCTACTATGATTAACGCATCGACTGTTTTTTCCCTTACGTACTGTGGCTTACGTTCTCCCGTATCGTTGTTATGAGCCAATAAAGTAGATCACTTAACGAAAAGACACGTGTTTGCATTTTAAGATGAACTCCCGATTTTAGCTCATTGCATGTATTTCCGCAAGAAATTGTTCATGATTAAAAATAAATATGATCCATATAAGGAAATTAATAAACGAATAAAGCATTAACTATACCGTTGTGAAGGCTTTCAAGTTAATAAAACCCTGACATTTCCATGCAGTGACAGCTGATTTACTGATTTCTAAAGAAGTAAAATATGGTATCGTTGAAGAATTTCTCATAAACGTGAAAAGCAGTCACAGCTCGTAATCGGAGAAACAAAATGATCGGAGATGCGCACTTTACATATACGACCCAGCCTAATTAGTGCTAATTACGCACGCATGACTGCTTCATTGATTAGTCTTGCTACCTACTTTGTAGAACGCGATGTTTCCATTTGTATTCCATAAAACCACAATACTTTTATGATCAATTAAACTGTCACTAAGTTGGTAAGAAACGTATGTAAAGTCTGTAACTACCGCATCGATCTACCATAATACATACGGCATAGCCCTAGTGATGCTCTACCTCTGGGCTTCAGCTTGACACTACTTTTTGGGACACCCTTTATATTTCTTTAAAGATACTAATCTAATGTAATTTTTGAAATAATTTTACAATAACTTTTAACAATCTACGGAAGCCAAGGATTATATTGATAATTTCGCCTAAAACTTTGTTATCGGGTTGCAATAACAATGATAAGTATTGACTATAACGGAAAACCTATCTCATTTGATGATTGTACTTTTCCGTTATTAGTTTATTGGCTGATTAGTTTTTTATCATCACAAGATTCAGCTAAGTCTATGGTAGATTAATAAACGACTTCCGACTATGTATTAGGTGCCGATTTTTTTTCAATTAATCACAAGAAAATATATCATTGAGATGCCTAAACATCTGCATCGAGATTTTAAAGTTCTGTACATAGTCCGAATAGAATCTTCATGAAGTCTGTCCGAATGTCACAGACAATCTTCCACTTGATGGATCGACTCAGAAGCAAGATTCAGTTTGGACTCAGGTGACTCAAAGGAGGATGTTTTAATTTAGTGGGGCAACACAATAACACACAACTCTTACGGTGTCTTTCCATTAGGATAGGCACAATCGAAACATTATCTCTACTAATATTATAAAGCTGAAGAGTTTGTTTGATTCAACGCGCTAATCTCAAGAACTACGGTGCGATTTAAACAATTCTTCTTGTGTTGGGGATAGCCCATTTATCAAGGAAGGCTTTAGGCCAATCTTTGCCAAAGTGGGCGATAACGCCCCCTTGTGGGCGCTGCAGGCTTAAAGGTCGGTAAGAGACCCAGAAAAAAAATCGGGACGTTGTGTAGAGGCTTGCTTGGGAGGCGTCATTTACTAGGAGGTCTCTTAGACACCGACTGAGCACTCGACTCTCGACTACAAATGGGGGCGCTAAAAAGAATTTATTCTCAAAGTGGGCAGTAGACAAAATATGTTTGGGAACCGCTGCTTTAGGCTTTACAACATCACCCTACCAATAGGGGCGGAGCAATAATGAAAAATGAATGTTGCAAAAACGGGAAACAATATTCAAACTATTTTCACGCGCACGAAGTCGCGGGCGCAGCCAGTTAGACTATAATTTTATTGCATTGACTACTATCTAATACTCCGTAGTAAGTATTTAACAAATTCACCTCGCATTCGGCAGGTTTTAGTAAGTAACAGACGTACTTGTCATGACACGTGCGCCCGCGCGTTTCAGGTACATTCACCCACAGATACCTTTCACCAAAATCAGTTGCAAATTAAACCAAGTTCGACTGGGCGTGATTAAATTTAATGATTGCCCGTGTAACGGTAAAATGTGTGCGGGCAGGGCATGAAAAAGTGGTGAACAACCTGTTCAGAGCTGTCTTAATCGAGAGGACATCAATGGGAAGCTGATTTGTTCTATTGTTTATTAAACACTAATGGTAGGTTCAGTGGTTTAGGCGTGAAAGCAAGACAGACAGACTTACTTTCGCATTTATAATATTAGTATAGATAATTAGATAGTATAGAAGTATAGATATAGATCTTCTTCTTTTCGTGTCGACAACAAACCTACACAGTGTCAGCCCAAAACTCCGCCACAAGAGTGGCGTTGTCAGTAGCACTCATCAAATCCTCCTGAGTGCAGTTGCTTGGGCACTCAGGGCATGATATAGATATAGATATAGATAGTATAGAAGTATAGATTCTAGTTATCATGAATAATGCCTTGGTAGAGACGCTCCTGTAGAAGACTAGTGAAACTCTATTTTCCTTTTATTGAGCTATTTTGACGATGTAGGTTATCAACTAGTTGTAAATGATACCTATCAAAGCCTACAAGAAATGGAAGCCAAGAAAATCAAGGCTTAATTTTCATGAAGCAGAAGATTGACGTCTTTCTGAATAATCTCTATATTTAGTTTCTCGAACGTGTTTCTAGTGTGTAAGATTATATTATTATCTAACTAACGTTTATACGCACACGTGCATGATAGATAAAATATTGATAACAAATTGATAAATTATCGATACGTAAACAATGTGTATAGTCATGAATACTGTAAAATGTATAGAATATTTTAATAATGTATTTTTGGGAGAAAAGAGCAAAAACTTTATCAGTGACATGCCCTTTATTGATGCGCTCTGCGCAGTACAGATATAGTTTTTTTCTTTGGGGAATATACGGTTGTTTTAGGAACTTGGAACTTGTAAAATTTTTAATCTTAATCATTGAAAGGCCATAAAAATTTAGCTAATACTAACAGCATAAACCAGGAAATCAATAACGAAGATTAGCATTGAAACGATGCAGTAAAATTAATTTATAAATCCTGTTAAATGTCAAACAATCACTACTCCGAGTAGGTAAATGTCAAAACGGTAGGTATACTAGTAACCTACAGGCTTTACACATAGTAAAATGGTAAACGATTGCTTAGTAGGAAACAGTGGTTATGATACGAAACCGGTTTTAAAACATGGATGATTAGAATGCAGCACCTTTTTATTAGTCGCTCGTTTTACGGATAAATAATAAAAACCAGATAACTGTATCCATAGTAATTTGAAAGATACGTGGAACAACGACATAATCGTAATTAGTAAGGAATAATTTGTTTAACATTCGAAGCGGCGGAGACGTCGTGTTACAACAATATAGTTATCTTTATAGCTGCTGTATATTTTATTTATAATTTATTTGAGTTTTACACACGTGTTAACCGCATTAGTTTGTTAGTCAACTTTAATTTTATTTGAAACATTGTTGTTACAGCTTATCGCGTGGGAAGGAGGCGAGTTAGCGGAGCGCCAGCCGCCAGGGCATGAGTTAGCTTAACCCTGTGTTTTCCTCAAGATATGCACTCGCTACAAACAGTGGCACGTTGACAATGTCATATCAGATGCATCGTGCGCATGCACAAGGCAAAGCAGTGTTATCTGTGCTGCACGTGCCACAATACACGCGAAATGATCATTACAATTTAATTAGAACCACAAAAACATTTATTTTACAAACCATAAGATAACACGCGCTTATTTAATCGTTAACCTGACGAAATGTTCAAGAAAAACACGATTTATAAAGAGAAAGGCGCGTCGAACACTCAATATAAAACTCCAATTATTGCGCACAAAAACTCTTTGAATTTTTCAATTTATATCGCTCAAAAAATCAACAATATAATGGATAATGGCGTTATTTGGGCGACAGTAATGATGTAAGTGGAGTATTTGCGCCTGACGGCATGTTTGTTGTTACAGCCAAACAATGGCGCTCGTCACCTGAGAAAACCATTCGGAACAAACGCCATCACGTTATTCAAATCATAAACTACTCGTGAATTAGACGATAACATTCATCAGCATCTTTAATTGCCTCGCACTCATTAATTTGCATG